ATGAAGTTAAACTACAATGGCGGCCATTTAGGCGGCCATTTTGAATTAAGGTAATATATAAAAATTCCTAATAATATGCTGTCACTCTAGAAGTAAAGAGAAAACAAAAACAACTTGTTTTAGTAACAAAAATAATGTTAACTACCATTAAATAAATCACCATCACACATTTCCATGAAAAGTCGGAGAATCGCTAAAATACCCCTGTCTCAAAGAATAAGCTGTAAAACATTCAATTAACACGATATTATCATACAAAATAACTTGTTTTGTGCCCAAGTCATCACTCTAGGAGAAACAAGTGTCAAAAACATCAAAAGTATCAACTTTGGATGTAAATGGAAACATTCGGTGTTCATTTTATGTAAATTTAAGTACCGAGAAGGCAAACACGACAAAACAAAATGGCGGCCAAAATGGCGGCCATTTTGATTTTTTTTTCAAAACAAAATTATGTCAAATAATTTCTACATCCTTTAGCAGTACACAGAAGTCATAATGAAAGGGGTCAGATTGATAGTAAAAAAACTATTAATGATAAACGTTCAGGTGTTGTCGGACAGCAAACCAAATGTGACGAAAATGCTCGGAGACCCCCACCACATATAATGGCCTGTAAAAAAAAACTAATACCACAATCTGAGAGTATTACAGGCCTTTTCATGAGCCCAAGACATCATACTAACTGAAAATAGTCTCAAACCAAATCAGTACTGGGGAGGCTACGATTTGAAATTTTTCAGCTGCCTCCTCCTGGACTAAAGCACATTAACCCAATTCATATACACTTATGTCGTTCAGATATCAGGCTGTATTTTCTTCTCTCACACTTTCCGTAAAGATGCCACATTAAAAAATTCGTAGCACAGTGCTTTTATCAGTGCGCGAAAAATGCGGATAAATTTACTGTTTTTTAACGCATAACAAACTTTGGACAACATTTAGCAGTGTCTATTTCTCAAAACCGCCAAGGTAGTTGCACTTATATTTATACCAACGGATAGGAAATTTAATATTCTACATTTCTGCGTAATTTTATAGCCGTACGCAGATCCAGGGCCACGCGAGCGCAATTCTCGCACAACGTTCACTTTTCAAACCGTATGAAAATGTGCGCCTGAAAAAAACTCGGCGTCAAGGGGGTTAACTCCGCAATTTAATTATTACAACTATATGTTACAGCGTTCTGTAAATAACTGAATCTGGACAAGACTTAATAATACTCTTTATAAATGTGTTTTACTGTTGCCATTATCGAAACATCAGTCTGACATGAACAAAGTGAAATTATACTGTATTTATCGACGAAGCCGAGTATGACTTTAGTATATACTATCCCGAAAAAGAAACGCATAGACGTTTTGAATTTTTAAAATCTATTAATTACCTATTGTGTTCATACAATCGTCAAAATATGTAACAAATGTGTTGATAACATAATTTTACACAATTGCACAAGTAGAAAATCGACTTTACCTGAAAATGTTGATTTTGATGAGATTTCTTACAAGGATTAAAAAGACATCGCCACACGCAATAGAAATTGTTTAAATTGTGCAGCAAAGAGCGTGCACTGTCTGCCTATAAAAATCCAGATTACTTTCGGAAATCGGCATTCGTTTTGAAGTAGTTTCAAGGGTCAAATCACTACGCCACGTCTTGAAGCTGCGACACGGAACATCGCCATTGAAAGAATGCACGCTGGAGATTAACAATCTTCTGTTGCCAGGCGTCTGAATGTTAGTCTGAGTACGATATCACGGCTTGCAGCTCGTTACAACCAAACAGGTATAACAAATGACCGTCCCAGTACAGGTAGACCTAGAGTCACCACTGCAGCCCAAGATCGGTACATCCGGGTACTACATTTGCGTGTTCGTACTGCCACGGGTGAGAGCACAGGAGCCAGGGTGCCTGGACTTCGCAGGATATCCGGTCAAACGGTACGGAACAGGTTGAGACAGATTGCACTGAGAGCCAAAAGGCCCGACGTCGGGACCGTGCTACGTCGTCACCATAGCGCTCAGCGTCTCCGTTATCTAAAATAATCCACTTGGTTGTATAGACATATCCTTCTTCTAAACTGATGTAAAAATTCATGTACTAAAGTCTATTTGTGGACGAGTTATACATGTTTGAAAATACAACATTTTCGCAACAGATTTCTGACATATGCGTTTCTTTTTTTTTGGATACTATATCTGGTATCTATAATGACGTAATTGGCTATGAGAAGGCTGGTCACGTGTCATCGCTTGTACGTTACTTTGCCCATATTATCAACCACTAGCTTGTATGATTCTGGCTGGATTCTAGGTTGTTTACAGAGGTCATCATATGGTTTGAATATACACGGCTGCGGTGTCACAAGAACACTCTGAAAAACACTTTGTTTGGTGGTTTACTTACAGAGTTAATTATATTTATAACTAACCTAAAGTTCAATTTGAAAGAAATTTAACAATTAATCAGACAACATTTTCCTCCTGTTTCAACTGTTATAAGTAGTAACTTGACCGGGTGTAATTATATTAGACAGCATGCATTAACGTCACTCACACTATCTCGGATCAAACAACGTGTTTACAGACGTCTGTGGTTAACACTAATCGTGCCGTTACTATGGTATGTCCATAGCTCTAGACTATCCTCGTACTGCTAGATGTGATTGATATCAGCTGATGGATCATGTGTTTCTACTGATCAACCCTGATTAAACGTGCATTAGGTGATTTCCGTCCCGTGAAGCACTTGGTATTTCAACTCGCTCGCTTACTGAAAGTAATGAATCGAATTGGGAGAATACAACAAACACATCAAAAGCTTAAATTAACAGAAACTGGCTTCCCCTAACGAGGGGCGGTGGGGTAGCCTAGTGGCTAAGGCGTTCGCTCGTCACGCCGAAGACCCGGGTTCGATTCCCCGCGTGGGTACAATGTGTGAAGCCCATTTGTGGTGTCCCTCGCCGTGATATTGCTGGACTATTGCTAAAAGCGGCGTAAAACCAAACTCACTCACTTTCTCTAACGAAGGTGATTTGTCGTAGTTGGATGTACACAGCTTGAGAAAAGTACAGCTCCCTTGCTTTGTGTGTATATTCTACAATTGCGAATATCCGATGGCAATAATCTCACAAGTGAGTGAGTTCATTTTTACGCCGCTTTTAGCAATATCCCAGCAATATCACGGCGGAGGACACCACCAGAAATTGGCTTCACACATTGTTCGCATGTAGGGAATCTAACCCGGGTCTTCGGCGTAAGGAGCGAACGCTTTAACCACTATGCTACCTTATTGCTTCGATCTCACTTTGAACAATACCTTCGTAAACCACCGAAACTTTGCAGAAACAATATGTAGAAGTCTTGCATATTTCTCAAGTTGACCGCAAATACCTTTATCTTACCTCAAACATAAATGTCGCTTTCTGATTGGCTGAGCGCTCTTCTATATCATTTTCAATGTACCTCGCTTACAAGCAAGTAACATTTCAATGTACCCCGCTGTCAATGGCAACTCATTCTGTACTTCGTGGTAGTAATTCTTTATCTCGAATAACATTGAATCACGTATGATGTACGGAAATGACCGATATTTTGCGAATGCAAATCGATGGAAGGGAGATAACTCTAAATCTGTTTTTCTTGTCAGCAAAATCTAGCGATGGCTACAAAAAGATTTGTACCCGTGCTTCAAACAGTTCCAAATCAACATTAAGGTGTTCGGTAAGATAAAATGTTGTTCACTGGACCTTCGGGGCCCATGGGTTGATGTACCCTCAATGTTTGTTTATGTTCCCTGAGCCCGAAGGGCGAGGGAACATAAACAAACATCGAGGGTACATCAACCCATGCCCCCCTCGTGACCAGTGAACAACTTATAATGTTGTATACAGGGCATACCGATTCTCACCAATGACGGAAATAACTGTTTCGTTTTGTAAACAAAAATAACAAAAACAAAGTCTGTTGCAAGGGAGCGCAGCATAGAATATTTTTTAATGGTTTAAAAAAAATGCTATCTCTTTTTTCTTATGTATAACATTGGACTTCAGTTTGTTATTGAAAAACTGTTTCTATTCATATTAACCGTTTCTATACTATACCATTACACGTCGGGTAAATAGGGACAATAAAATGTAATTACACTGAACATTTAGGAGCATAACGTATATTGAATTTCACGTACTTCGCTTTGCCGGCTGTGTGTTAATGTAGCGTTAATTACAGCTGCCCTCATAGGTGGGGCCGTCATGTATTATCACGGCTACTGGTAATTCATCGACATGACTGAAGCTCACTTTTTTCCGTATTGCAGGTACATCATGTACTGTCAGACAAATTTGAGTGAGTGAGTGTGGTTTTACGCCGTTTTTAGCAATATCCCAGCAATATCACGACGGGGGACACCACCAATGGACTTCACACATTGTACTCATGTGGGGAATCGAACCCGGGTTTTCGGCGTGACGAGCGGACGCTTTAACCACAAGGCTACCCCACCGCCCACAGACTAATTTGAGAAGACTAAAGTAACTTAGGTCATTATATGGAATGTAACACGTTGCTCAAAGTATTGGCCACAGGTAGATCAGGAGCACGGTCGTATAATTTGGTACCCGAATCTTGGGTAAGCGGATATTGTCATGGCTAAGGTACATAATTATCTCGTGACTGAGTACCGAAAACTATCGTTCACAAAGGTCATCAATATTCAAGCTACATCATGGTGGTCTGTAAATAATCGAGTCTGAATCAGACAATCCAGTGACTGACATCATGCGCATCGACATGCATCAACCACGTGTGGGAACCTGACCACCCGATCCCGTTAGCCGCCTCTTACAACAAGCACCAGCGAGTGAGATGAAGGTGCTGAAAACCCTCCTAACATAATTGGAGCTAACCGGGATTCGAACCCATTATCACAATTCTGTAAACCACTGGGCCAGCAATACGCCAGAAGTTAAACAACATACCAGTTGTGTATAAAGAACTCACCACCCCAAGGCAGAAAATCCCCAAAGCCAATTGTACTGAGTGTGATGAAGCAGTAGTAGACAGCGTCCATCATCGTCCACCCCTCGACGTGAATAAATAACGCTGACGGTAGAAGTATGGTGACGTTAACGCCCACGAAGACAACGATGGATACGTTGATGGTCCTGTTAATCCAGGTCCTCTGACAATACTGTACCCGGTACAAGCGGGTTATCCAGTTGCTCAGCTTGTCGCCGATGTCCTTCAACATGATGAGGGTGAGGGGGATACCGATCAAGGCGTAGATAACGGTGACCACACGACCGGGCGTCGTAACGGGGGTGAGGTGACCATAACCTGCAATATAGTCATTGTATATTGTCACTCAGTTATACAGCCACTGTACACTTTTGTGCTGACGGTATAGAACATTGCCGTATATAAGCAACGACATATAGCGCATACCTGTTCGTTTTGTTGGTTGGTTGTTGTTTAACGCCGCACTCAGAAATATTCCAGCTACATGGCGGCAGTCTGTAAATAATCGTGTCTGGACCAGACAATCCAGGGATTAACAACATGAGCATCAATCTACGCAATTGGGATACGATGACATGTGTCAACCAAGTCAGCGAGCCTGCTCGCCCGATCCCGTTAGTCGCATCTTATGACAGCGACAACGACAACCTCCTACGACACAGGTACTCACCACGACATAAAACGTTCTCGTACAGTCGTGACGAGACACGACATCGAAACTGACTGCCAAAAACCTTTACCATGCTTCTAAATCAATTTGGGTTATAAAGCACAAACGATACATGCATGAATTAAAATGTAATGAGTGTATCAGAACCTCAAAGAAATCAACATTCAAGAAGACAGAAACATTCATACAGAAACCGATATTGACAGTTGCCCGAACTGAGATGGAGCAGCAAAACAAGCTTTCGATATAACGGGGGCAGTGGACATAGAATCTGAAATCGCTCAGATGACGTCACATCAATTGCGTGCATGATAATCCCTGTTGCAATACTCGCAAAAGCTAACGTCAGTTGTCTGATGGCGTCGCCTTTCTTCATGTAGGGCTGGATCAGTTAATGTCGGTTAGCTGATGGATGGGGTCACTATCGAACAACGCCCATGAGATCCCAGGGGGACAAGTTGACGATGGGTGCTCTACAAATCGGGTTGTATGGGGCCTGGCGCTATAGTGTTGATTAAGACAACACGTGGCAGATATAGAAATGTTACGATTTGGATGGAAACGATGACACGTGTCGACAAAGTCAGTGAGCCTGACCACCCGATCCCGTTAGTCGCCTCTTACGACAAACAAGGGTTGCTGAAGACCAATTCTAACACGGATCTTAATGGGTCAGTATTGCATGAAAAATATCCATGAGCTACTCCTGCTCATCGGAACAACTGTGTTACGAAATCGTGGTCAAAGAACCTGTATACCTGAGACCAACATGCTATTCCACATTGATGCACGACGGCCATCAATTTGCAATTTCATTTTGAAAGTGGTAGTTTCTTTTGGCCACCAGTTTACTTGTAGTTGTGACGACATATAACACTTACCTGTAGTAGTGACGACGTATAACACTTACCTGTAGCAGTGACGACGTATAACACTTACCTGTAGTAGTGACGACATATAACACTTACCTGTAGTAGTGACGACGTATAACACTTAAAGGTAGTAGTGACGACGTATAACACTTACCTGTAGTAGTGACGACGTATAACACTTACATGAAGTATTGACGACATATAACACTTACCTGTAGTAGTGATGACGTATAACACTTATCTGTAGTAGTGACGACGTATAACACTAGTAGTGACGATCATGTAGTAGTGACGACATATAACACTTACCTGTAGTAGTGACGACGTATAACACTTACCTGTAGTAGTGACGACTGTAGTAGTGACGATAAGAACACTTACACTGTAGTAAGTAGTGACGACGCATAACACTTACCAGGTAGTAGTGACGACGTATAACACTTTACAGGTAGTATGACGACGCATAACGACCTGTAGTAGTGACGACGTATAACACTTACCCGTAGTAGTGACGACGTATAACACTTACCTGTAGTAGTAGTGACGACGTATAACACTTACCTGTAGTAGTGACGACGTATAACACTTACCCGTAGTAGTGACGACGCATCTGTAACACTTACTGTAGTAGTGACGACATAACACTTTACAGGTAGTAGTGACGACGTATAACACTTACTGTAGTAGTGACGACGCATAACACTTACCCACCCGTAGTGACAGGTAGTAGTGACGACGCATAACACTTTAGTATTGACGTATAGTAGTGACGACATTATAACACCTGTACACGTAGTAGTGACGACGTATAACACTTACCCGTACCTGTAGTGACGACGTATAACACTTACCTGTAGTAGTGACGACATATAACACTTACCTGTAGTAGTGACGACGTATAACACTTACCTGTACAGTAGTGACGACGTACCGACTGTAACACTTGTAGTAGTGACGACGTATAACACTTACCTATAACACTTACCCGTGTAGTAGTGACGACATATAACACTTACCTGTAGTAGTGACGACGTATAACACTTACCTTGTAGTAGTGACGACGTAGTGATAACACTTACTACTGTAGTAGTGACGACGTATAACACTTACCTGTGTAGTAGTGACGACGACGTATAACACTTACCTGTAGTAGTGACGACGTGACGATAACACTTACCTGTAGTAGTGACGACGCATAACACTTACAGGTATGTAGTAGTGAGTGACGACGTATAACACTTACTGTAGTAGCTGTAGTATTGACGACATATAACACTTACCTGTAGTAGTGATGACGTATAACACTTATCTGTAGTAGTGACGACGTATAACACTTAAAGGTAGTAGTGACGACGTATAACACTTACCTGTAGTAGTGACGACGTATAACACTTACATGTAGTATTGACGACATATAACACTTACCTGTAGTAGTGACGACACTTATAACACAACGTATACCTGTAGTAGTGACGACGTATAACACTTACCTGTAGTAGTGACGACGTATAACACTTACCTGTAGTAGTGACGACATATAACACTTAGTGACGACGTATAATAACAGTGACGACTATACACAGGTAGTATTGACGACATATAACACTTACCTGTAGTAGTGACGACGTATAACACTTACAGGTAGTAGTGACGACATATAACACTTACCTGTATTTATGACGACGTATAACACTGACCTGTATTTATGACGACGTATAACACTTACCTGTAATAGTGACGACATATAACACTTACCTGTAGTAGTGACGACGTTTAACACTTACCTGTAGTAGTGACGACGTATAACACTTACCTGTAGTAGTGACGACATATAACACTTACCTATAGTGGTGACGACGTATAACACTTACCTGTAGTAGTGACGACATATAACACTTACAGGTAGTAGTTACTACGTATAACACTTACTTGTAGTAGTGACGACGTATAACACTTACAGGTAGTAGTGACGACGTATAACACTGACCTGTAGTAGTGACGACGTATAACACTTACCTATAGTGTTGACGACGTATAACACTTACCTGTAGTAGTGACGACATATAACACTTACCTGTAGTAGTGACGACATATAACACTTACCTGTAGTAGTGACGACGTATAACACTTATCTGTAGTAGTGACGACGTATAACACTTAAAGGTAGTAGTGACGACGTATAACACTTACCTGTAGTAGTGACAACGTATAACACTTACCTGTTGTAGTGACAACGTATAACACTTACCTGTAGTAGTGACGACATATAACACTTACAGGTAGTAGTGACGACGTATAGTGACGTGATTACCTGTACTAGTGAAGACGGATAACACTTACATGTAGTAGTGACGACGTATAACACTTACCTGTAGTAGTGACGACGTATAACACTTACAGGTAGTATTGACGACATATAACACTTACCTGTAGTAGTGACGACGTATAACACTTACCTGAAGTAGTGACGACGTATAACACTTACAGGTAGTTTACAGGTAGTGACGACATATAACACTTACCTGTAGTAGTGACGACGTATAACACTTACCTGTAGTAGTGACGACGTATAACACTTACAGGTAGTAGTGACGACGTATAACACTTACCTGTAGTAGTGAAGACGTATAACACTTACCTGTAGTAGTGACGACGTATAACACTTACCTGTAGTAGTGACGACGTATAACACTTACCTGTAGTAGTGAAGACGTATAACACTTACCTGTAGTAGTGACGACGTATAACACTTACAGGTAGTAGTGACGACATATAACACTTACCTGTACTAGTGAAGACGTATAACACTTACCTGTAGTAGTGACGACGTATAACACTTACAGGTAGTATTGACGACATATAACACTTACCTGTAGTAGTGATGACATATATCACTCACCTCTAGTAGTGACGACATATAACACTTACCTGTAGTAGTGACGACGTATAACACTTACCTGTAGTAGTGATGACATATATCACTCACCACTAGTAGTGACGACATATAACACTTACCTGTAGTAGTGACGACATATAACACTTACCTGTAGTAGTGACGACGTATAACACTTACCTGTAGTAGTGATGACATATATCACTCACCACTAGTAGTGACGACATATAACACTTACATGTAGTAGTGACGATAAAGGCACTTACCTATAGTAGTGACGACTGTGATAGCAAATGACATCGCACCAGAGTAATCCCATGTGTCTGATATGGACCTGTTCTCAACAACCGCCCTGGCCATCCGCACGTCGCCCTCCACAACTCCAACCAGGTAGATCAGCTCCGACATCGTCACACACGTGGAGTTGGCTGCGGTAAAACCACAAGCACGTTACAACATGGTATTATTATAGGGATGAGTGAGTGAGTAAAAGTATTCCAGTCATATCATGGTGTGTCACTTTAATATGGGAGGGAAACCCGAAGTCAGGCATATCTCAGACGTTCACTACTTTAACAAAACCCAAGAGCGCCGATATGGTTCCGACAAACCAATCCAGTTTGGATCTTGGGATGACCTATAACATTTGTCATCATCATCATCATCATCATCATCATCATCATCATCATCATCATTAAATTACTACCTCTGCCTCTCACCTAAAAATGCCTGGATCTCTTGAATCATCTGGTCTCTCATTGCCTTCTCGTTGTCCAGTTCAAGGCTACGGAATATGAACATCCCGATGAACAGGTAGGACGCGGTCACAAAGATGTGCAAGCCCAGACGGCCATTGCCCTCCATCGTCTCCTTCATGACCAGAAGAAAATAACATCAGATGCTTCTGTATGTGCTGTATAACTGAACTGAACTGTATTTACACTCCGGGTGCGTTCTGCGGCATTAGAGGTACATGTTCCCATCATTATGTACAGCTTATATATGTTACATACATGTGTGATACACATTATATATGTTACATACATGTGTGATACACATTATATATGTTACATACATGTGTGATACACATTATACATGTTACATACATGTGTGATACACATTATACATGTTACATACATGTGTGATACACATTATACATGTTACATACATGTGTGATACACATTATACATGTTACATACATGTGTGATACACATTATACATGTTACATACATGTGTGATACACATTATACATGTTACATACATGTGTGATACACATGTTATACATGTGATACATACATGTGTGATATTGTTTATTTGATGAGACATTATTATTTTTCATACATGAAATTACATGCATGCCATTATGGATACACAAAAACATTGCTGAAGAAAATAATACTAGATGCGTCTGTATGTGGTGTATAACCATGCCGGACTCTGGTTGGTCAGAATCATTTCCCAGACACTTGTGCACTCCAATCAGATTCTCATAGCCCTGGGGGGTACACAACCTAGTGGGCCATACAGGAAGTAGAATGATTGGCACTTGCGTTATCATTTCATCCATTTTCATTAGTTTCCTCACCTTAGATACCGTAAATTATTTATTGCATGCGTTTTCCCAAACTGGCATAAAAACAGACGGTCAATATACTTGTGTTTACAGCTGTACATGATTATATTCTGTCGCCTGAAAGATTGAACCTATTCATGATTTTTTCTCTAATTATGTATCGCATTTAGTTACTTGTATCACACTTAGTATCCTATTTTACAAAAGGTGGCGGGACTGAATATGGTTTTAGCAAATGATAATTCCATTCACAAGGAGGTACTAGCTATAGTTTCGTGCAATCACGCCAGTTTCGTGAAAGCGTTTTTCATGATGCGCATGTGAACATGGTTGGGCTTAACTACGAAATTTACAGCGAAACGTGTCAATGAGTTCTTGTAGTTTTCAGAGATAGAAACCAGACTGAAAGTTTTTCTGATATTGTTTGAAACACTTATATATTTTTCTAAATGCGGCATCTCTTGCGCCAGCAAAGCAATTGGCATGTTGGAAGTTGGAATAAGCTCGAACTCTCAACGTTTCACAGATAGTAATTAACAGACTATAATCAAAAGACAAATAACGTTGATAACAGACTTGATCTGGTCGACTTTGAGGGACAAATGACGGTGAGCGACAAGACCGTTCTTCAGGACGACTGTGTTACGAAATCGTAGTCAAAGTGCCTCTCGAACTGGAGATGGGCTGCAGGTGTTAGAGTGAGTGGACAGACGACTGGTAATCAGCGAAGATGTTTAAGATGAAGGAAGATGTTGATTAGGAGCATGCCTTGTCGAATCATGGACTGTCTTGAGAATAGAAGCCGTTACTCGCAATATTAATGAGTTTTACTTATAATGGTGGACGTGCCTGACAGCAAGGTGCATATGCCAGTCATCTTACAACCAGGTGCATAATGATCTTGTGATTTTATTGCCCAGGATATGATTTCTGGTGTGTATTTCTGAATGGCCAGTGTACCATTGATTCAAGGGTTATTGTGAAATCCCTGAGAAATACTATTTCAGTGCAGACAGGAACCTGACCTACTCCACCAACTTACTCGTCTGTTGGACCCGTGAAGATCCAGGTCTTCAGCAAACCCATGTTTGTCGAAAGAGACGAGGAACGGGATCGGGTGGTCACGCTTGCATACTTGGTTGATGCTTGATGTATTACAATGTATTCCATTTACGTGTACGATAACCTACGCAACAAACAAATACTTCGCTGCCGTCCCATCTTAGGGTATGATTGGAAGACTGGCACTGTCAAACATCATCCTCAAGATTTCTGTGTCATTAATAAAATATAGAATCATTACTTGTTCCTGAAAGATATGCACCTGAACTACAGGTTGGAACTTTAAGAACACTTGTAAATTACAAATATCATTACACAATTTTAATGTTGAAAAATGTACATGATCAAAATAATAGTTCATGTCATTATTGTACTTTATTATTATGCCGAGGATGAGTTTCATGTACTTTTCATTTGTAAAAATGTTCAATATCTTAGAAACAGATGCCTCCCTATGACCCTATGATCTCAACTATGTACAAAGATGAACAACTAATGAAAACCTTGTTAAACTCAAGAAAAATCAACATAATATTATCTGATTCAATATTCCGAAAAACTAAAAAAGAAATTTTAAATTTGACTTTAATATATGTATGTATATATATTTGTCCACGTTACTGTATAATGTCATAAAACAACTGTACTATAGGTCATATGGCCTGAAATATTGAATAAAACTTCTGTCTGTCTGTGTGGAAGACATTTGTTTATGTGTGTTGTAATTCTGTTGTTGACTGCATATACTGATGTATTGATATTTAATAACTTTTGGAAAGCAATTTATCAATCGGGAGCAGATACCTTTTGTATGTTTGTTATCAAAACAAGAGATAAACATTCGCTGTATGTAAACAGAGGTAGAAAAAGAAGGTCTTTGATCTTAAATAAATTCTGACAAAGCCAATGTTTTATTAGTGAAGCAAAATATTTGATTTCACATATGATTTCATATTTGTACATGTAAACTGACACTCTTCTCGGTCCTGCTTTGTTTTCAAGTACACACTTCACGTTAAAGAAATACATATGATAGTTAATGTATAATAACTACAGCAAAAGTACGAATAGTGTCTTTAATGTGTCGAAACTGCCCCGGACAAAGTCCCATAGCGTGGTGCCAGTATAGTCACCAGAAACAGTTGTGAGAACATGTGGTCAAACAAAGCCAAACAAAGTCACCAGGAACAGTTGTAGTAAGAACATGTGGTCAAACAAAGCCAAACAAAGTCACCAGGAACAGTTGTAGTAAGAACATGTGGTCAAACAAAGCCACACAAAGTCAACATCCTTTCCATAACAAACGTCTGCCAAAATCAGAGGGGATTCCATTATGAGCATGTGTTTATGACTCACCATCAAATAGTGATGACGTCAGGTGTTCTGTAAGGATATTCCACCCCCAAAGTAAAACAAAACAAACAAAAGTCACCAAACAAAGTAAGAACACACACACCACAACAAACATCCCTGTAGGAACATATGGGCATCAAAGTCCCAAACATGCACAGGTAAGTCAATTGTAGTAAGAACATGTGGTGTGTGTGAATTCCAGTATGCATGTGTTAATGACTCACCATCAAATAGTGATGACGTCAGGGGGTGGGATGTGGTACCGGACAAAAAAGAGAATCAGTTTTGTTCCTGATGTGTCAAATTTCGAATTTCTTTAAATGTCCACCTACAAGTGTAAAGCTTTTCTGACTCCTTGAATATTGTAACTTTGATTAAAAAGAAATCAACAAGACTATTGAGGTGAGATGAAATTGGGTTTAACGTCATACTTGAGAATATTTCGCTCATATGACGACGTGCATGCGTGTGTATGTGTATGTGCGGCTGCTTGTACTAGCCCAGACTGAAGCTGGTTTTATTGTGCTAGCCCACTGAGATACCATGCCGCAGTGAAGCATGAATACCCCACACAGACACATTATACAGACTCCGAGCCGACCAGTCCTTGTTGTACCCATTAATGCCGAGCGCCAGGCAGGGACCAACAAGTACCATATTTTAACGTCTTTTTGGTATGCCGCGGTCGGGGATCGAACCCGCGACCTTCCGCTCTCCGGGCGGACGCTCTAACCATTCCTGCAGACGAATTCAATGAGACCGGTAGAAAAGCCGGTTTAACAAGGGTTCACTGCAAATAGGGACGTGGGTGTGCGGGTGAGCGTTCTTGCGTGCGTTCGTGTGTGCGTGTGCGTGTGCGTGCGTGTGTGGTTTTGTGACCTGCCAAGTGAAGTACGTGGATTCGAGTGAGTGAGTGAGTTTAGTTTTACGCCGCTTTTAGCAATATTCCAGCAAGATCACGGCGGGGGACACCAGAAATGGGCTTCACACATGGTACTCATGTGGGGAATCGAACCCGAGTCTTCAGTGTGACGAGCAAACGTTTTATCCACTAGGCTACCCCACCGTCCCACATGGATTCGAAAGACTAGTGCATGAAGTGAGATAAGTATAACAATTGTTATTTATTCACAGTTCTAATTAAAATCAGATCTCCGTTCTCTCCACCGCTAAACACTGGCATCTGATATTACTGAGGTTGTAGTGAGGCTGATCACAATTTGACATTTTGAATGAACAAGTACTCATCCGAAAATATACACGAGGAACCCGTCTCAAGTTTTCGGAGAACAATGAATCTTGCTTTTCTTCAAATATTATTATATAACATTTAGCTTAATATGTTTGGAAAGCAGATTTAAATGATTTGCATAAGTCATATTTACCTTTAAATACTGTACAGAGCTGTCCACGATTCTCCTTCGGTAGAAATGTTTATAACTGTACTTGAAACCAAGAAGCTGTCTTCACATGACAGTCGAGCTAGTAATTTGTTTATGTAATCCAGACAAAAATAGGATCTAAAACATCATCTGACTCCTTCATTTATCAGATTCACTATACTGCTCGCTGAATTGAAAACCTTGTCAATTGGTTTCCACGAACAACCTGTCCACTGATATGACACGAGCCACCTCAAGTCCTTCCGGGCAATGAACACTTCTATCCAGATCGTGATAGTGCCTATTGACTGCGATAACGTTTAAGTAATGACATCACAACCTCGGTAAAGGCAGCAGTGTTGTGGCGACAGTAACGGCTGTGTGCATCAAGGCAGGCGTGTATATATACACACATGTGCGTGCATGTTGATAGCGATCAGAGCGTAATACATTGTCGGAGCCGTCTTCCAATACATCCTTTATGTCATCGGCGTTCCAGGTCTGTGGGTGTATCTGCAAGTGAAAGGTCAGCGGTAAATCGTAGGTACAGAAGCTCATTCTACTTGAGTTATTAACGTAGGTATAGAAGCTCACTCTACTGGAGTTATTAACGTAGGTATAGAAGCTCACTCTACTGGAGTTATTAACGTAGGTATAGAAGCTTACTCTACTGGAGTTATTAACGTAGGTACAGAAGCTCACTCTACTGGAGTTATTAACGTAGGCACAGAAGCTCACTCTACTGGAGTTATTAACGTAGGTATAGAAGCTCACTCTACTGGAGTTATTAACGTAGGTATAGAAGCTCACTCTACTGGAGTTATTAACGTAGGCACAGAAGCTCACTCTACTGGAGTTATTAACGTAGGCACAGAAGTTATTAACGTAGGCACAGAAGCTCACTCTACTGGAGTTATTAACGTAGGCACAGAAGCTCACTCTACTTGAGTTATTAACGTAGGCACAGAAGCTCACTCTACTTGATTTTATTAACGTAGGTACAGAAGCTCACTCTACTTGATTTATTAACGTAGGTACTGAAGCTCACTCTACTTGAGTTATTAATGTAGGCACAGAAGCGCACTCTACTTGATTTATTAACGTAGGTACAGAAGCTCACTCTACTGGAGTAATTAGCGTAGGCACAGAAGCTCACTCTACTTGATTTATTAACGTAGGTACCGAAGCTCACTCTACTTGATTTATTAACGTAGGTACTGAAGCTCACTCTACTGGAGTTATTAACGTTGGCACAAAAGCTCACTCTACTGGAGTTATTAACGTAGGCACAGAAGCTCACTGTACTGGAGTTATTAACGTAGGCACAGAAGTTATTAACGTAGGCACAGAAGCTCACTCTACTGGAGTTATTAACGTAGGTATAGAAGCTCACTCTACTGGAGTTATTAACGTAGGTATAGAAGCTCACTCTACTGGAGTTATTAACGTAGGCACAGAAGCTCACTCTACTGGAGTTATTAACGTAGGCACTGAAGTTATTAACGTAGGTACAGAAGCTCACTCTATTCGAGTTATTAACGTAGGCACAGAAGCTCACTCTACTGGAGTTATTAACGTAGGCACAGAAGTTATTAACGTAGGCACAGAAGCTCACTCTACTGGAGTTATTAACGTAGGTATAGAAGCTCACTCTACTTGAGTTATTAACGTAGGTACAGAAGCTCACTCTACTGGAGTTATTAACGTAGGCACAGAAGCTCACTCTACTGGAGTTATTAACGTAGGCACTGAAGTTATTAACGTAGGTACAAAAGCTCACTCTATTGGAGTTATTAACGTAGGCACAGAAGCTCACTCTACTTGAGTTATTAACGTAGGCACAGAAGCTCACTCTACTTGATTTATTAACGTAGGTACTGAAGCTCACTCTACTTGAGTTATTAACGTAGGCACAGAAGCTCACTCTACTTGATTTATTAACGTAGGTAACTTGATTTATTAACGTAGGTACTGAAGCTCACTCTACTGGAGTAATTAGCGTAGGCACAGAAGCTCACTCTACTGGATTTATTAACGTAGGTACTCGAAGCTCACTCTACTTGATTTATTAACGTAGGTACTGAAGCTCACTCTACTGGAGTTATTAACGTAGGTATAGAAGCTCACTCTACTGGAGTTATTAACGTAGGCACAGAAGCTCACTCTACTGGAGTTATTAACGTAGGCACAGAAGTTATTAACGTAGGCACAGAAGCTCACTCTACTGGAGTTATTAACGTAGGCACAGAAGCTCACTCTACTTGATTTATTAACGTAGGTACTGAAGCTCACTCTACTGGAGTTATTAACGTAGGTACAGAAGCTCACTCTCCTTGAGTTATTTACGTAGGTACAGAAGCTCACTGTACTGGAGTTATTAACCTAGGTACAGAAGCTCACTTTACTTAGAGTGAAGTTCGTTCATGGGCGGAACGTGAATGTTGGACTATACGTTTATTTTTTAAAAACAAATATATGTCATCGTATGATGTGAAGAGTTTCATGTTTATTGTTCAGGTGAATGGTGTCACTATAAGAAATGTTTACAGTGTTGTAGAAAGGTACACTGACGCCCAAAATAAAGTACACAACTGGTGCTTTTGCATTAATTTCCAAAAGGAAAATAACACATATACTTTAAAACATTGTTTTGATTGGCTTACAAGTCACAATCATTATGTACATGTTGCCAAAACACTACAGATGTCCTTCTTGGAGCTGCGCGTGGGATATAATGAAAATGATGATTTTGCTGAATAGCAGTTTATATCAATGTATATGACATCAAAATAAACGCAGTGACAAACTGTGGAGAGACGAATGGACAAGGAAACCCCATTCATAACAATGATGGTACAAGAAGAGATTCAAAACGCCTTTAGAAGATTATTGTTTATTCAAACGTTTTGTGAATATTTTTACCTGAAAACATTGACACCTCTAAATGTGATTAGTTTGAGCGGCAATAGCACAGTATGTTTTGTACACATTTTATGGAGGTCTGAATTCAAAGTATTTCAATAGCCCAGGCAGATACCACAGGCCTTTCCATGGACAGTGAGTTACAGATATCTATTCCACTTATTAAAACGCATATCATGTTACCAAAGATCTTTAATGTTACGTTATTCACTACTGTAAATATATCTGTATATATTTTTCACTTATCAATTATGAATATATGTTATATATATGTTCTGAGACTATGCCTCGTGTCTGTACATATTTCATGCAATTATATTGTACTTGGGCCTGTGGCGTGTAAAATAAATAAACTCGTCTCATGTATGGAGGGTGCGGAACGCCAGATCTAAAACTGCAAAAGAAAAGCATGCCCGTCCCTCTCGGTGGTATGAACCATGGATATGTCCTAAATGCGAGTGTTTGTTAATTTACGCCGCATTCAGACATTGTGCAGCTATTAATTTTATGGCAGACAAAAAGTGACCCAGTCCAAGTGAGTGAGAGAGTTTAGTTTTACAACGCTTTTAGCAATATTCCAGCAATATCACGGCGGGGGACACCAGAAATGGGCTTCACACATTGTACCAATGTGGGGATTCGAACCCGGGTCTTCGGCGTGACGAGCGAACGCTTTAACCACTAGGCTACCCCACCGACCCGATCCAGCCCAAAGCAGATAAACAAGTGACTGCCAAGATAAACAAAGGACATTTTCATATGAGGTACAGAGACAGCTAGATTATACACTGTGGCCACTGAGCAGGGACAGAAGAAAATACTCGGTAACAACAGTTTCCATAGTGTCATTAGTCCTCACTGGAGCCGTGTGTTATAGTCATGGAACTTTTCTACCTGATAAATGCAAGTCCGCTTCTCACGCCGCTAACAAAAGTCCAGTCCTATCTGCGAAACTGTAGTTCTGTAGTGTCCAACATGTAACACACGACTTTCACCATACAACATCCCGATACTAATACCACATGGACTGCGCCACTTTCAATAACATCCACAGGTCCACACTAATATCACATGGACTGTTCCGCTTTCACGGACTTCGACACGCTGATATGCTTATAGCACAGCTCCTGTTCTGATGCATCTTAGGGCTACGAGTTTCAGGTCAGTGTTCGTGTTTTTCAATGTTTAACCTCTGTCGAACTTCGATGTAATTCATGATCATCCCGGACGCATCACCAAAATTACGCTTTTCACTTCAAAACACTACGTCAAAACACTACTGATACAGTTTACTTCTTTGAGTAACATTTAGAAGTTCCTGTGATGAACAACGGGGAATGTTTTTAATGGATATACAGCTTCTTTATTATTAATGTGAGTGACGTTTCAGTGTATCTACTAACACATTAACAGGCAAGTGATGTACCATTCACTAATACAGTGTCTACTGTTCCGCCTCGTTCTTGGTCGATTGTTTTTCTGTTTTTCTGACCACTCGATAACGGTAATCACGGAACACCTGTTCCATAGTATAGTTCATGTCGACAGCAGAATGGACAATGTGTCAATGCAACAGATGGACTCTAAAGCATGTGTGTAACGGTCATGTCTACCAATATCTACAATTCCACTGTATCTTACAGTGTACACACTGTTGGGATGCTGGTCATTTAGGTTTATATTGATTTCAAACAGTTCAGGAGTTTGTAACACATTGTCGTTGCACCAATTTACTGATATATACTCAACAAAATTAGAAACTTGTCACCCACATTATTGGTAACGATTGTGAGGTCGGTAATTCTTGTTGTGCCACACAGACGCGGAAATGAAGACTGTCTGAACATGGTCACAGAGCGGATAAATAGCCTGTGTGTAGCCTAATCAAGAGCAACGAGTCGCCTCAGCGATCGTACGTGCATTTGAATGCTAGACAGATAAACGCATCATATTGAATAGCGGTATAGGTTCTGTTGGAACAAACCGACATAAATCCATTAACCTAGAACACTTTTGAGACATTATAATAAGGAATGCAGAACGTTCCACCAGTGAGTCACGGAAGAATCCTTGAAAATGTGTATACATGTCGTTGGAACTAGACTTTAAAAGTCAGTCAGGGAAAATGTTTGGAAAGGACTGAGGAACATCAGAGGGAAAATCAAGACTTGGTTCGTGTGGAGGGAAATAATATATCTTGGACTGAATAAGTGAGTATGGTTTTACGCCGCCTTATGTAATATTCCAGCAATATCACGGAGGGGAACACCAGAAATCGGCTTAACACATTGTACCGATGTGGGGAATCGAACCCGGGTCTTCGGCGTGACAAGCGAACGCTTTAACCACTAGGTTACCCGAACGCAACTGTGTCTTGGAGCTGGAAGACAGACAATCCGTGTCCTTGAGGAGCATGTCCCCTAACCTTTGGACTTCACGATCCCTTTGTCGTGACTTGTAAGTCACAATCCAAACAATTTTCAAAGTATTTATGTTATTGTATTTTTGGAAAACAATCCCATAGCAACAGGTGTGTACTTTACTTTGTACACCAGGTTTCTTTTCTACAAAGACGTAAGCATTTCACCTTAACATAATACAATATTGTACATTCACGTTCCGCCCTTGAAGGCACTTCACTCTAACACAGACAAAATTGTTAATTACTCAAGTAGAGTGAGCTTCTGTACCTACGTTTATGACTCAAGTAGAGTGAGCTTCTGTACCAACGTTAATAACTCATGTAGAGTGAGCTTTTGTACCCACGTTAATGACTCAAGTAGAGTGAGCTTCTGTACCTACGTCATGGGCGGATCCAGGAATTTTGAAGGGTGTGTGTGGGGTGGGGTTGGGGTGGGGTGTGTGCGTTCGAACCCCCTGAACACACACACACACACACACGCACACGCACACACACGCACACACACACGATCCTCAAATGTACGTTCATAACTCAAGTAGAGTGAGCTTCCGTACCTACGATTTACTACTGACCTTTCACTTGCAGACAGACCTGGAACGCCGATGACATAAGGGATGTATTGGAAGACGGCTCCGACAATGTAATACGCTCTGATCGCTATCAACATGCACGCACATGTGTGTATATACATACGCCTGCCTTGATGCACTCAGCCGTTACTGTCACCACAACACTGCTGCCTTTACCTAGGCTGTGATGCCATTAACTAAACGTGAGGAGCAATACTCGGTGGTTATCGCAGTCAATAGGCACTATCGCGATCTGGATAGAAGTGTTCATTGCCCGACGGACGTGAGGTGGCTCGTGTGATTTGACTGGACAGGTTGTTCGTGAAAACCAATTGACAAGGCTTTCAATTCAGCGAGGAGTATGGTGAATCTGATAAATGAAGGAGTGATATCATATTTTGGGATCCTATTTCTGTCTGGATTACATAAACAAATTACTAGCTCGACTGTCATGTGAAGACAGCTTCTTGGTTTCAAGTACAGTTATATACATTTCTACGGAAGGAGAATCGTGGGACAGCTCTGGGTTTGGTGTGTACAGTATTTAAAGGTAAATATGACTTATGCAAATCATTTAAATATGTTATGAAACTTTATGAAGCTAAATGTTAAATGACCGAAAAGATATTTGTAGAAAAGCGAGATTTATTGTTTTCCGAAAACCTTAGACGGGTTCCTCATGTATATTTTCGGATGAGTACTTGTTCATTCAAAATGTCAAATTGAGATCAGCCTCACTACAACCTCAGTAATATCCGATGCCAGTGTTTAGCGGTGGAGAGAACGGAGATCTGATTTTAATTAGATTTGACTGTGAATAAATAACAATTGTTATATTTCCCTCACTTCATGCGCTAGTTAATTAATTTCTTGCTCGCTGTAGGAGCATTCCTTAATCTTGTTAATTTCTTTTATCAAAGTTACAACATTCAAGGTGTCAGAAGAGCTTTAAAAAATATTTGGTGGACATTTAAAGATCGTCTCGAACTTTTGACACATTGACACATCAATGACAAAACTGATTCTCTATTTTGACCTGTACTACATTTTCCCCTGAACAAATGACTTACCTGTGCATGTGTTTGGGACGGATGATACCAGTAGGTGGAATATCCTTACAGAACTCCTGACGTCATCACTATTTGATGGTGAGTCATAAACACATGCTCATAATGGAATCCCCTCTGATTTTGGCAGACGTTTGTTATGGAAAGGATTTTGTGGCTTTGTTTGACCACATGTTCTTACTACAACTGTTCCTGGTGACTTTGTTTGGCTTTGTTTGACCACATGTTCTTACTACAACTGTTCCTGGTGACTTTGTGTGGCTTTGTTTGACCACATGTTCTTACTACAACTGTTCCTGGTGACTTTGTGTGGCTTTGTTTGACCACATGTTCTTACTACAACTGTTCCTGGTGACTTTGTTTGGCTTTGTTTGACCACATGTTCTTACTACAATTGTTCCTGGTGACTTTGTTTGGCTTTGTTTGACCACATGTTCTTACTACAACTGTTCCTGGTAACTTTGTGTGGCTTTGTTTGACCACATGTTCTCAAAACTGTTCCTGGTGACTATACTGGCACCACGCTATGGGACTTGGTCCGGGGCAGTTTCGAGACATGAAGGACACTATTCGTACTTTTGCTGTAGTTAACTATAATATGTATTTCTTTAACGGTAAGTGTGTACAGAGCAGGATCGAGAAGAGTATCAGTTTACGTGTGCAAATATGAAATCATTTGGAAATCAAATATTTTGCTTCACTAATAAAACATTGGCTTAGCAAGAATGTATTTAAGATCAATGACCTTCTTTGTTCTGCCTCTGTTGACATACAGCGAATGTTTATCCTCTTGGGTCAGATGGTATTTGATAACAAACATACGGAAGGATTTGAAAATGCTCCAGAGGTAATATTGATAAATTGCTTTCCAAAACATAACAAGGTATGCTATGGATTTACAACTTCTTTATTATATATTTACAACACGACGTTTCTGGGCTACGTCTTGCTCCTTCATCAGGCGAATCATAACCATAGATTTTATTAGATACTGGCAATTCTCAATCATGTCATTTTCACCATTAAAAGTGAAATTAATATCCACCTCTATTCTTAAGACAACCAATGTTTTGACGAGGCATCTTCTATCTGTGTTGCCGATTATGAATCGTCTGTCCACAAACGCCCGGAGCTCTGTGAAGCCCATCTCCAATTCGAGAGGCACTTTGGCAACGATTTCGAAACACCATCGTTCTGATGATACGGATTTGTGCGCCATTTTCCGCTCAAGCTCCACCAGGCCGACATCTGTTATCAACGTTATTTGTCTTTTGATTGTAGTCTGTTAATTACTAACTGTGAAACGTTGAGAGTTCGAGCTTATTCCAACTTCCAACATGCCAATTGCCCGTAGGCGTTGCTGACGTAACAGGCGCAGCATGTCGAAAAAGACATTAGAGTTTCAAACAATATCAGAAAAACTCTCCGTATGGTTTCTATCTCTGAAATGTACAACAACACATTGACACGTTTCGCTGTAAATTTCGAAGTTTAGCCGACATTTTTAAAAACGCTTTCACGAACCACCTTGTGAATGGAATTATCATTTTCTAAATACACAATAATATAATCATGTACAACTTTAAACAGAAATCCATTGACACCGTCTGTTTTTTATGCTACTTTGGGAAAACGCATTCCTCAATAGTTTACGGTATGTGAGGTGAGGAAACTAATGAAAATGGATGAAATGGTAACGCAAGTGCCAATCATTCTAGCTCCTGTATGGTCCACTAGGTTGTGTACCCCCCAGGGCTATGAGAATCTGATTGGAGTGCACATTGTCTGGGAAATGATTCTGACCAACCAAAGTCCGGCATGGTTATACACCCCATACATACGCATGTAATATTTTCATCAGCAATGTTTTGCAAAATAATAATGTCTCATCAGATAAACAATAACACATGAGTGTAACATTGTTCATTTATCTGGTTAAATGCATGTACAGACATAGTTTATTCTACCAACCAAGAGATATGTATGTATTACCATTTTGTTTATCACACATGTATGTAACATATATAATGTGTATCACACATGTATGTAACATGTATAATGTGTAGCATATATGTATGTAACATGTATAATGTGTATCACACATGTATGTAACATATATAATGTGTATCACACAAGTATGTAACATATATAATGTGTATCACACATGTATGTAACATATATAATGTGTATCACACAAGTATGTAACATATATAATGTGTATCACACATGTATGTAACATATATAATGTGTATCACACATGTATGTAACATGTATAATGTGTATCACACATGTATGTAACATATATAATGTGTAGCACACATGTATGTAACATGTATAATGTTTATCACACATGTATGTAACATGTATAATGTGTATCACACATGTATGTAACATATATAATGTGTATCACACATGTATGTAACATATATAATGTGTATCACACATGTATGTAACATATATAATGTGTATCACACATGTATGTAACATATATAATGTGTATCACACATGTATGTAACATATATAATGTTTATCACACATGTATGTAACATGTATAATGTGTATCACACATGTATGTAACATGTATAATGTGTATCACACATGTATGTAACATGTATAATGTGTATCACACATGTATGTAACATATATAATGTGTATCACACATGTATGTAACATATATAATGTGTATCACACATGTATGTAACATGTATAATGTGTATCACACATGTATGTAACATGTATAATGTGTATCACACATGTATGTAACATATATAATGTGTATCACACACGTATGTAACATGTATAATGTGTATCACACACGTATGTAACATGTATAATGTGTATCACACATGTATGTAACATATATAATGTGTATCACACATGTATGTAACATATATAATGTGTATCACACATGTATGTAACATATATAATGTGTATCACACATGTATGTAACATATATAATGTGTATCACACATGTATGTAACATGTATAATGTGTATCACACACGTATGTAACATATATAATGTGTATCACACATGTATGTAACATATATAATGTGTATCACACATGTATGTAACATATATAATGTGTATCACACATGTATGTAACATATATAATGTGTATCACACATGTATGTAACATATATAATGTGTATCACACATGTATGCAACATATATAATGTGTATCACACATGTATGTAACATATATAATGTGTATCACACATGTATGCAACATATATAATGTGTATCACACATGTATGTAACATATATAATGTGTATCACACATGTATGTAACATATATAAGCTGTACATAATGATGGGAACATGTACCTCTAATGCCGCAGAACGCACCCGGAGTGTTAATACAGTTCAGTTCAGTTATACAGCACATACAGAAGCATCTGATGTTATTTTCTTCTGGTCATGAAGGAGGCGATGGAGAGCAATGGCCGTCTGGGCTTGCACATCTTTGTGACCGCGTCCTACCTGTTCATCGGGATGTTCATATTCCGTAGCCTCGAACTGGACAACGAGAAGGTAATGAGAGAACAGATGATTCAAGAGATCCAGGCATTTTTAGGTGAGAGGCAGGGGTAGTAATTTAATGATGATGATGATGATGATGATGCTTTTTATTATTGCAGTTAGTCGACAAATGTAGGTCATCCCAAGATCCAAACTTGATCTCTCTCACTCTCTCTCTCTTGGTATAGTGCTAAAAGGTGCTTGGTCTTATATCTACTTACTCACCCACTCACACCCGGGTTAGAAGTGATGTTCAGTAACGTATGCTTGTCGTAAGAGGCGACTAACGGGATCGGGTGGTCAGGCTCGCTGACTTGGTTGACACATGTCATCGGTTCCCAATTGCGCAGATCGATGCTCATGCTGTTGATCACTGGATTGTCTGGTCCAGATTCGATTATTTACAGACCGCCGCCATATAGCTGGAATATTGCTGAGTGTAGCGTAAACGTGGTGAACGTCTGAGATATGCCTGACTTCGGGTTTCCCTCCCATATCAAAATGACACACCCTGATATAACTCGAATACTTTTACTCACTCACTCATCCCTATAAGTATACCATGTTGTAAAGTGTTTGTGGCTTTACCGCAGCCAACTCCACGTGTGTGACGATGTCGGAGCTGAGGTACTTGGTTGGAGTTGTGGAGGGCGACGTGAGGATGGCCAGGGCGGTTGTTGAGAACAGGTCCATATCAGACAAATGGGATTACTCTGGTGCGATGTCATTCGTTGCCACAGTCGTCACTACTATAGGTGAGTGTCATACGTCGTCACTACTACAGGTGTTATACGCCATCACCACCGTAGGTGAGTGTCATACGTCGTCACTACTACAGGCAAGTGTTATATGTCGTCACCACTACAGGTAAGTGTTACACGTCGTCACTACTACAGGCAGCTGTTAAACGTCGTCACTACTACAGGTAAGTGGTATACGTCGTCACTTCTACAGGCAAGTGTTATACATCGTCACTACTACAGGCAAGTGTTATACGTCGTCACTACTACAGGCAAGTGTTATACGTCGTCACTACTACAGGCAAGTGTTATACGTCGTCACTACTACAGGCAAGTGTTATACGTCGTCACTACTACAGGCAAGTGTTATACGTCGTCACTACTACAGGCAAGTGTTATACGTCGTCACTACTACAGGTAAGTGTTATACGTCGTCGCCACCACAGGTAAGTGTTATACGTCGTCACTACTACAGGTAAGTGTTATACGTCGTCACTACTGCAGACAAGTGTTATATGTCGTCACTACTACAGGCAAGTGTTATACGTAATCACTACTACAGGTAAGTGTTATACGTAATCACTACTACAGGCAAGTGTTATACGTAATCACTACTACAGGCAAGTGTTATACGTAATCACTACTACAGGTAAGTGTTATACGTAATCACTACTACAGGTAAGTGTTATACGTCGTCACCACTACAGGTAAGTGTTATACGTCATCACCACTACAGGTAAGCGTTATGCGTCATCACTACTACAGGCAAGTGTCATACGTCGTCACTACTATAGGTGTTATATGTCGTCACTACTACCTGTAAGTGTTATACGTCGTCACTACTACAGGTAAGTGTTATATGTCGTCACTACTATAGGTGTTATATGTCGTCACAACTGTAGGCAAGTGTCATACGTCGTCACTACTATAGGTGTTATATGTCGTCACCACTATAGGCAAGTGTCATACGTCGTCACGACTATAGGTGTTATATGTCGTCACCACTATAGGCAAGTGTCATACATCGTCACTACTATAGGAGTTATATGTCGTCACCACTATAGCCAAGTGTCATACGTCTTCACGACTATAGGTGTTATATATCGTCACTACTATAGGTGTTATATGTCGTCACCACTATAGGCAAGTGTCATACATCGTCACTACTATAGGTGTTATATGTCGTCACCACTACAGGCAAGTGTCATACATCGTCACTACTACAGGCAAGTGTTATACGTCGTCACCACTATAGGTAAGTGTTATACGTCATCACTGCTTCAGGTAGGTGTTATAAGTCGTCACCACTATAGGTGATTGTCATACGTCGTCACTACTACAGGTAAGTGTTATATGTCGTCACTACTACAGGTAAGTGTTATATGTCGTCACTACTACAGGTAAGTGTTATATACTATCACAATTACAGGTAACTACAAGTAACTTGATGCCCAAAAGAAACTTTACCTGTTTAAAGGTGAAATTGAAATTGCAAAGGTTTAACAACAAAAGTTTAAATTAAATCACTGCAGAACATCATCAAACATAACAGTGCTCTATGCAGAAAGTGATGCACGTCCACGGCACGTACTGTAGAAAATACGAAAAAGTGAAAATCACGTGTGTCTTGGGCAACCGTAACTACACGTGCAATCAGGGTAGAGAAATGATACGGACGGCACATGAGATATACACACTGATACTAAAACCAACACCAACGACGTCATGCAGCAATGTGGCGGTGGGTTAGGACGTGCACGTCAGGCATGCAGGTTCCATGTGCGTAGCCGATTACGAATTTTCTGTCCACTCACTCTTAACACCTACAGCCCATCTCTAATTTGAGAAGCACTTTGACCACGATTTCGTAACACAATCGTTTTGGTAAGGGCGTCCGTACTTAATTCTGTGTTTCTCATCGCCTGAATGTTCCAAGATTGGGGCGGGCGAAAAAATAGGCAAGAAAAAAAATACTATGCAATATTCAAATATGAATGTATACTCACCTTTTGCATTGAGAATCATGGTAAAGACAATACAGTTTGCCCCTAAGTTCCCTTCCAGTGTGGGGGCGGTGGGGTAGCCTAGTGGTTCAAGCGTTCGCTCGTCAAGCCGAAGGCCCGGGTTCGATTCCCCACATGGGTACAATGTGTGAAGCCCTTTTCTGGTGTCCCCCGCCGTGATATTGCTGGAATATTGCTAAAAGCGGCGTAAAACCATACTCACTCACTCCCTTCAAGTGTGTATGTTCACTGGTAGGGAACTTGGCTACAGTAAGAGTGGAGTTTTTATGATTTTTGCGACAGAAACTTTATGATTTCTGACAGAGTTTTTGTGATTTGTCACAGAGTCTTTGCAATGATATGTGTTATAATAAGATAAAATGGTAATTATAGCTTTAGTTTGTGGTATTAAAGACTATTTTCCTTAGCAACACATAATATCATCTTGCAACTTTATATTTTACTTAAATAAATATAACAATAGCATAGATATACATGTCATCGGTTCCCAATTGCGCAGATCGATGCTGATGTTGTTGATCACTGGATTGTCTGGTCCATACTCGATTATTTACTGACCGCCGCCATATAGCTGGAATATTGCTGACTGCGGCGTTAAACTAAACTCACTCACTTAATATCGGTTGTTGTATGACTGTCTCCTTGAATGTTGATTTCTTTGAGGTTCTGATACGTTTATAAAGGTTTTTGGTCTTCTGTTTCAGAAAATATACAATGACTACATTGCAGGTTATGGTCACCTCGCCCCCGTTACGACGCCCGGTCGTGTGGTCACCGTTATCTACGCCTTGATCGGTATCCCCCTTACCCTCATCATGTTGAAGGACATCGGCGACAAGCTGAACAACTGGATAACCCGTTTGTACCGGGTACAGTATTGTCAGAGGGCCTGGATTAACAGGACCATCAACGTATCCATCGTTGTCTTCGTGGGCGTTAACGTCACCATACTTCTACCGTCAGCGTTATTTATTCACGTCGAGGGGTGGACGATGGTGGACGCTGTCTACTACTGCTTCATCACACTCAGCACGATTGGCTTTGGGGATTTTCTGCTTAGGGGGGGTGAGTTCTTTATACACAGCTGGTATGTTGTTTAACTTCAGGCATATGGCTGGTCACGTGGTTTACAGAATTTTGATAAGGGGTTCGAATCCCGGTTACCTCCAATTATGTTAGGAGAATTTCTAGCACCGTTATCTCACTCGCTGGTGCTTGTTGTAAGAGGCAGCTAACGGGATCGGGTGGACAGGTTTGCACACGTGGTTGATGCATGTCATCGAATCCAATTGTGCAGTTGGATGCGCATGATGTCAGTCACTGGATTTTCTGATTCAGACTCGATTATTTACAGACCACCATGATGTAGCTTGAATTTTGATGATGTCGGCGTTAAACACAAACACTCGTTGGTCAAACTAACCCCGCTTACCTGTGATACTTTTCAGTTATATGTCAATGGAACAATACTCACTCAGTCACTAAATAATTGCGTCCCTTACCAAAGATTCTTGTACCACATTATACGATCGTGCTCCTTTGTCTTCCCGTGGCCAAGAGTTTGAGAAATTTGTTAAATTCTAGACAATGGCCTATGTTACGTAAGTCTACACAAATCAGTCTGACTGTATATGATGTACCTGCAATAGTGAAGACAGCGAGGCGCTACTTCCGGTACTAAGCTGGTTCCCAGCTCCCTTTTAGCTCGCCAACTTGCGATATGCGAGAAGGGGCCCAGCTTACTTCCGGTACCAGATTTCCTGTGACCAGCGTATGTTCAAGAACCAGTTCTGGTTGAATTGCGCGACCGCCAAATATGACTATATGCTTACTGTCACAGCTGTTGACATTCGTAATAGTTGGCTAATTTGAGGATGGTCAGATCGGAAAATTGTTATTCTTGCAAGGATTATCGGTTCCTTACTGTCAACTGACAACCATGGGACCATTCGAAAAGGTATCAAATGTTGTTCATCACCGGAAGTACTAAGGTCTCGCGAAGTGCATTCGTCACCACTCGCCCCTTTCCGTAACCTGCAAGAAGGCTTGTCCCGGAATAACACGAGTTGGTCACGAATGCGCGAAGTGCCGTGACCTATAGCTACGTACGGGCCCTATTACCAGTGACCGTGATGATACGGATCCTTTTAACACACCTGTGAGGACAGTTGCAATTAACTTTACATCAGGCACACAACCAAAGTGTGGTACGTGAAATTCAATATATATGGTACTCTTAAAGTTCAGCGTAATCAAATTTAACGGTCCCTATTTCCAGGCAGTGTATTAATATTGTATAGATAGTCTGGAAACAGTTAATATGTCCACACATATGAGTAAAATCATGTTTTCAATAAACAACTGCAGTGACGAATCCAATATCATCATCTGGAAAAAGAGATTGCCCATTAAAATATATTTCCGTTTACGACATACATTTAAAAAAAAATGCTATGCTGAACTAATATTCGGATATAGAACATTTGCTTTGTTTCTTTTTGTCTACAAAACCTTTTGATTTATATCAAGTAAATTGTCCCTTGATATAAAACGTATTATGTCTATTTAATCGGCACTCACATGGATTATGTACAGATCGACGGCTGGAATATTGCTGAGTGAGTCAGATTGTGTGATGACGCCCAGAGCAGTCAGATAATTTCGGTGTACCCGCTTTCTTTCAGCAGATCTGTTGACATGGAACAGAAGTCTGTACACATTCTTTATTTACATCTGGGTCTTCATCGGACTGGCTTATATATCTCTCATCATCAGCTGTATCTCAAACACCATCGTGGAGAAGGCCCGATCTGTGGAGAGACACACACTGACCAAGGTAGAGGTGAGTATATATGTGTGTTTCATCATCAGCTGTATCGCAAACACCATCGTGGAGAAGGTCCGATCTGTGGAGAGACACACATTGACCAAGGTAGAGGTGAGTATATATGTGTGTTTCATCATCAGCTGTATCGCAAACACCATCGTGGAGAAGGCCCGATCTGTGGAGAGACACACACTGACCAAGGTAGAGGTGAGTATATATGTGTGTTTCATCATCAGCTGTACCTCAAACACCATCGTGGAGAAGGCCCGATCTGTGGAGAGACACACACTGACCAAGGTAGAGGTGAGTATATTATGTGTTTCATCATCAGCTGTATCTCAAACACCATCGTGGAGAAGGCCCGATCTGTGGAGAGACACACACTGACCAAGATAGAGGTGAGTATATGTGTGTGTCTCATCATCAGCTGTGTCTCAAACACCATCATTGAGAAGGCCCGATCTGTGGAGAGACACACACTGACCAAGGTAGAGGTGAGTATATGTGTCTCTCATCATCAGCTGTATCTCAATCACCATCGTGGAGAAAGCCCGATCTGTGGAGAGACACACATTCACTGAAGTGGAGGTGAGTATATGCATGTAAACAGGCTTGTTTGAAGTAGTTTTGACATTCATACGCCAATATAAAATCCTTCATCTAACTTGTCTCGGAATGGCGTCAGGCTGTAAAGGAGAACTTGACGAAGCGTAGATAAAATCCTTTATATCCTTTCCCGACTGTTTCAGGCAGAGCTGAGACGACTGCGCCACGAAATGATGAAGTATCAGCGCCGGTCCCAGGACATCACAACCAACATGGGCGAAGCCAGGTCACCAAGTACACCGTTGGACGTCAAACTAATGCACTATACACATGTCGGACAAGACAACAACGCCTTTGTGTGTTCTGTAAACTCTGAAACATTTCATGTCAAAATCCAGAAAAATACTGACGATGTGAATTAACGTTTATTCGTGGACACTGACGAGAGCAAGAGGGTGTAGATGTGGAGGTACATTGTTTGTGAATAGCTCGGTGTTGTTGGGAGATGACACATATAGGACTGCATGCTTCTGTGATTCCGAGTGATTCCCGGAATATGTTTCTTAGCGTTCTTTTCATCTCCGAAAAGTTGTGACAGTACGTGGTTTTCAATCTGGATGTGTTTCATACAGGTATTTAAACAACAATTGGTGTGTTCAGACACAAAACGTAGATTGTGACAAGCCAAAAACGTTCCAACCTACAGGTACCTTGTATTGGCAAGTCCACACTGGCAATTGACTCCTACCATTAATGCAACCACTGAACTCTTTCCTTTTTTCGTAGCTTTATGCAAGTAAACCAAACCTGAGCTACCTATCCCATCTGCAGGCATTCAGTCTTCAGTCTTCAGTTCGTGTTCTACGCTACTTGTACAGCTATGCCAGTGGAATTTCCGGACTACCTCAGCATTATCTGCAAGGACTCAATATGTTCACGCCACGTTCGGATAATTGGTTGACAGCGTGTCATCGTGCCCCGAAGGTTGAGCGTGGTTCACAATGTTAATCACCACTTTGTCTGGTCGAAATTCGGCTTATTTGCGGTAGGGTAGCCTAGTGATTAAAGTGTTCTCTCGTCACACCGAAGACCAGGTTCGATTCTCGACATGAGTATAATGTGTGAAGCCGTGATATTGCTAGAATATTGCTAAAAGCGGCGTAAACTTGATCTCAATCTCACACTCAGATTCGATTTCCTCCAGCTAGCCACCGAAACAGCTGCAATATGGTTCAGCGCAGCACTACAAACAATGCCCACAGCCTTCAGCTGATGAAGTTTGGATAATATCATGCCGTTGTGGAATAATAAAAATTCATTTTATTTGTTTGTTTTGATTCAGATGACACGGAGAGCACTTCGCTATGGACATAGGTACATGGAAAACAATACGTCCCTATCACATCATTTTTACTGTCGTGGCAATACACTCAGCTACAGAAGATGAAAACAGAAAATTAGCGCAGTGTCCAGAACGGCCGTTAAAAAGACCGATAATAGGAAATATCGTCGATGGGAAGAATGTTTAATCATTACCGATATGAATATTGTATGCGTTCGGGCGGACCCTTCAATAGGTACCTAACCGTTTTGCCGTTCCATGTTGTCCTAGGCGATTTAAGCCTGGACTTGCCTGGTACGTCGAGGGTCGCCTGGTCGGACGAGTGAGGAGTCGGACGACCGTGACTGCTAAATGTGGACACATCACATACATGCACTGGCTCACCAGGTTCTATACCCACATACGGTTACTTTGTTTAAGTCCTCCTCTCTTACTACAACCTCAACACATGACAGGATAGGATCGTCCCAAACTGGGTGAAACTGAGTGGCAGTGATACGCCTCGGTCGATTGGAAAGTCCGCACCACTCTTATAGTGTGTCTTTTAAATGGTTCGAGGGTGACCTGATCCTGAAAACCTGTCCAATACAACACATGTAAACAATGTCATTTACGTCTTTTAAGGACCTTGTTTCGCTATAGCCGTAACAGACCCATGTGAAAAACCGTTGAGTGAGTGAGTGAGTCAGCGTCGTTCTGGTATGATTCCAGCAACGTCACGGCGGGGAAGACCATAGACCACAATTTACTCTCGTTGGTCTATGAAGTGCATACTGTCAATTGTGTGCTGGTCCTAGATTCGCCATGGTAATGGTTTGTTGACACTGCAGTCGTGTTGATGTGTGTCTTCACATGTTAGGGGGACCAACATCTTTTGTACGAAATAGCGCCACCATATGTACATACAGTATGATCTGACCCCAAAAGGGTCAAATATTAAGTTTGTAAGATTCTCGAGGTCATCATCCTTTTATGAAACTGTTTATCAGATTGATATTCCGGTGTCTTCTTACTACAAACTGGTGCTGATCATAGATATTTCCTTGGCCTCTTTCATGTCCTTGACCTCATTCTTGACCTTCACCTCTTTCGTGCCCTTCTCAGTGGTTGTACAACATTCGCCATCTTCGTCAGTAGACGACGTCTGTAAGTCATATTTCGATCGTAATTACAAACACAAATTACCATACCCCAACACAACATAAACAGGATAATAGCCTGAATGGAGACAAGGTCATTTTTCAGCTACAAAACCAGATATGTTTTAAGTTTTACCATGAGCCTGAATATTTCTTGCCGCATTATATTTTGGTGTGCAAAGCAAATTCTCTTTTCAACTCTTTTTGTCGATCTTTTTCCTCTGAGAGAGTTATTTTACGATGTAGCTCCAGGCTCCTCCCCGCAGAATATCAAATAATTGGTCCCTTACCGATCGTTTTTTATGTTCGATGGTGTTGTTGACCTGAACGACTGTGTCTGTCATCTTGCTGAGTAGCATTGCAAGCCATGCGTAACCCATTAGAATCCACACCACCATCAGGACCCGATATACCTCCCGATATTCCTTGGCCTGTTGACCTGCAATAATATAAGATGGCGTTACTGGAAGATCCACCACCAGCACCCGGTGGCCTGTTGACCTGCAATAATGTAAGAAGGCCTTACAGGAAGATCCAATACCAGGACCCGACAGATCCTCCTTTGTTGACCTGAAAAACATGCACAAGTACCAAAGATGAGGCTAGGCACTTTACAAAGTGCCAAATTATGATGTGTAAGAGAGAGTGAGTGAGTTTATTTTTACGCCGCTTTAGCAATATTCCAGCAATATCACGGCGGGGGACACCAGAAATGGGCTTCACACATTGTACCCATGTGGGGAATTGAACCCGGGTCTTATGCGTGACGAGCGAACGCTTTAACCAGTAGGTTGTGTAACCCCCTGATATGTAAGACAGCTTACAGACAGACGTGTGAATGGTGTAGAAAGGGTGTGTGGGGGGTGATATTTCCTGGTTATCAATGTTTCACCATTCTCTAATGCAGCTCTGTAGTTAGCTCTGTATTATATACCCTCTTATCTTGCATTAATCTGTTACTTTATAAAACACATCATAGCGTAGCGGTAGTAATTCAATACGGAATCTGGGGTGCAATACGGAATTTGACCACGTCATCCGTATTGCACCCCTATATCACTATCCTAAGTTTACTAGGGTATATAATAAAACGAAATATCTTTGTTGCATGTATCGGTTATATTTGATATATTTTTCAAATTACCTATCGTGGTATAAGTATATGTGTGTAGATTAACTACGAGTAGAATATTTCCAATTCCCGAAGAATAATATCTGCATATGAAATTATTATAATATTTCTACATTCAATACGATTTGAAAAATATTCATAATATATTAGGAAATGGAAATATTATAAATTGGAAAATCGAATATGAATATATCAACGATGTAAGCGATATAATTTGACAGACTTTACACATTATGTTAAATGAATATGTCACTTAATCAAACACAGAGTATGGTCACGAACCGGGTGTCTGCCGTGTGTATAACGGAGAATTGAGTTTAAAGTCTACATATTCGATAAACACATCAATAAGATGAAAAATGTATTTGTGTAGGAGACCACTCACCCGGCACGAAGTCTCCCAAACCAACTGTTGTCATGGTGATGACACAATAATACAGTGACTCTCCGTATGTCCATTTTTCAGCCGCCGAAAATACCGTTGCTGGTATGAATAACCACATTAGAAGTCCAACTAGCACGCATATGCCATTCTTGCAGATTTGAAGTTTTGAAAAGCACAGTTTCTCCAAGATTATCCGTAAGGGAAATTGCAGCTTGACGCCCACGTTGATGATGAAAGCTCCACACAAGGGTATTCCAACTAGAGCGTAGAACACACAGAAGGCCTGCCCCCCGGGGGTCACCGGGGACATGTTGCCGTACCCTAGAGGGGGGAGATTTCACACAGATCAGGAAAGACGTTAACCTGTCTTAACACGGCCACATTAAAAACGGGAATTGAAATATACACAAATATCAGCAGATTTTGGAAAATCAGTTACGGAAATAGGCTTGTATTAAAAGATTATTGAAAATCAGAAACTGAAATAAGTTACGGAAATAAACTTAATATGTTAACAGATCATGGATAGTCAGTATCGGAAATAAGCTTATGTCAACAGATAATGGAAAGTCAGTTACAGAAATAGGCTTTGTTATCAGATTATGAAAATGGTTTAGTCATATTTATTTAATTCCACAGGGGAAACATGATAGAATACAAACTGTATCAGCCTCCTATTCCAGTTCATGTATGAGCGGGGGCGGTGGGGTAGCCTAGTGGTTAAAGCGTTGGCTCGTCACGCCGAAGACCCGGGTTCGAATCCCCACATGGGTACAATGAGTGAAGCCCATTTCTGGTGTCCCCCGCCGTAATATTGCTGGAATAATGCTAAAAGCGGCGTAAAACCAAACTCAGTAAGTCATGTATGAGCGACCCCATTCCTTTTCTGTGGATTTTGGTTTAGGAGCCATGTTGGAAATTCCTATGAATTCAAAGTCTTGTTGACCGAGAGACTCCGATAGACCTCTTCACTGCGTTATTTATGGTCACCGAGAAGGACACATCGTTCTTACGACCGCAAGAAAAAGTTAAGCGAGAACACAGGACGAGAAAGCGATAACACTGAACGGGCAAGGGATTCTGGCTCTATCGCTTTCTCGTCTCGTGAAGGCGATGTTCCCTCACACCTACCACAGTCGTTACAAGTACTGAGATTAATCTACTAACCAATGGTGGTGACGATGGTAAGCGAGAACAAGAGGGAGCTGAAGAAGTCCCAGTTGTCCTTAGAGGTAGTGTTGGTGGTGACGAGGACGCCTTGGTCATAGGCTGCCATCATGTTCAGGATGAACAGATCCAACTCAGCAGGAGACAGGCAGCTGTAGTTAGCTGGAAAGAGAACGAAGCATGTGTAAGAAGTACGAACGGGTTAGATTTGGAACCCAGCATACTATGCTTGTCTTAAAGGACGAATAGATTGATCGGGTGGTCTCACTTGGCGTGCCTGATTTCATTCTGAAGGGGTGTTTTGATCATGAGAGGAGAGTGATTTTTTATCCAAGAGTAGTTACACTCTAAAGTGGATCAGTCACTGGAGCAAGTCACTTTGCATGACCATAGCTTGTAACTAGGAGAAACTCACTGTTGAGTAAAATATGATTTAGGGGGTTTAATCCTATTCCTGTGAAGATCCGGTTTAGAATTGACCTTCAATAACCCATGCTTGTCGTATGAGGCGACTAACAGGATCGGGTGGTCAGGCTCGCTGACTTGGTTGACACATTTCATCGTATATCAAATGCGTACATCGATGCTCATGATGTTGATCACTGGATTGTTGGTCCAGACTCGATTATTTACAAATCGTCGCCATGTAGCAGGAATGTTGCTCAGTGAGGCGTTAAACAACAAACAAACAGTTAATCCTACCAGTACCACACAGGAAACAGGTTAAGGGTACATCAGGTAACGGATACATCAGGAAGCAGGTAACACATACACCTTGTAACAGATAGACCAGGTAACAGGTAACAGATACATAGGTAACAGTTAATGGATTCACCAGGTAACAGATACATCAGGTAACAACAACAAAAACAGTTAATCTTACCAGTAACAGGTACATCAGGTAATGGGTGACAGAAATATCAGGTAATAGATACACCGTGTAACAGATAGACCAGGTAACAGGCAACAGATACATAAGGAAGCAGGTAACAGATACACCAGGTAACGGATATACACCAGGTAACAGGCAAGAGATACACCAGGTAACAGGTAAAGGGTACATCAGGCAATGGATAGCATATATACAGGTAACAGATGCATGAGATAACGGATAACAGATGCATCAGGTAACAGATAACAGATACTCCAGGTAACAAGTAACAGATACAAGTAGCAGGTATATCGGATAACAGGTAAAGGGTACATCAGGTAACAGGTAAAGATACACCTGATAACAGATAAAATATACGTCAAGTAACAGGTAACAAATATCATCAGGTAACAGGTAACATATATACAGGTAACATACATCACACCTATTCTCACGAAATGTGCACCATTTGTAATTTTACGTGTCTCCGCATCCAAAAGAACTTTTATACTGATTTCACTTATTCGTTTCATGTTTATATTAGGAGAAAAGCTTGGTAGGTTTCCGTGACATAGAAATTGTTAATAATATGTTATACATATGTGTGACTCAGGGTAATGAAAAAAGACCATATAATTATTATAAAAATTATATGCATTCATTAGATAGTATTCCTTATTTACAGTTTTATGTTGGGACAATACAATATCAATCTCACAGCCACTAAATTTCAGCCGATTTCTCACCATGATGCTTCACAGGTTTAAAGTTGTAGAGATTCTTTAAGGATGTAATCTACGTGACGACCATAAGATACAAACTGTACATCCAGTGTCACCAAAAGGGTTTTAAAATGAACGGACCTATTCAGTAGTAATAACTAAGTGAAGGAGATGCTGTTCCTTACCACTTTAAACGTTTGGTGGGGGCTAAAAGATGTCTGTGTAATCTACGTTATGTAATCTACGTGACCTCGTTTCCAAAGGAGCATCGTCTTTTTCTCGGATTGCACACAATAGTTACGTACCTTTGGCACTGACCGTCCACTGGTTCCAGAAGTAGGATTGACGCAGTCATCCAAGCGCCAAAAGCACATGGCATGACGGACATTTTGTTCAGTGGTGTGATTGAAAGGTGCGCGAAAGTCCAGTTACCTGAGTAGAACTGATCACACACCATCAGGGCTACTCAGGTAAGACAACTATGGATCTAAAGTTATAGCATGAACTCTTCTGAACATTAAACGATTATTTACTTTTAATTGGCTTTTCATTGCTAACATTCTATATCAAACTAAACAGGTAACGTGATTACAGTTTGGATGAATTTTCACTGTGCTTATGTACTATCTGTACTTTAAATAACGATTGAAACGAAGAAACAGTTGATCTCTTTTGTATCTTTTAATGTAACTCTGTGTAATAGAAATAGCAACATTTCACCAGTATTTTTTCAAACTTTCTATATAGATATGGTAGTGTTACGCTAACGTAGATTACAAAATGTATTCAAGTTGTAAAATGGCCAAGTTTTGTTGTTTATCACAATATAATCAGATAAAACTTATGTGTAAAAACCTGTATAGTAAGTTTGATGATAAATTTATGCAAATTAGTTTACCCCATCATGGGTACCCAATCATGATTGGCGATCTTCGTGTTCTCCTTGACATCTGACTTTTGATAGTTTGAACTTTGTGAACAATAAATGATGGTCTAACAATAAAATGACTTATCATTTTAAAAAAAGAACTTTAAAATTTTATCATTTACAGTTATCAGTTGGTGCACATTTCGTGAGAATAGGTGATCAGATAACGGATAATAGGTAGGCAGGTAACAGATACATCGGATAACAGGTAACAGTTACATCAGGTAACGGATACATCAAGGGACAGGTAACAGATACATCGGATAACAGGTAACAGTTACATCGGGTAACGGATACATCAAGGGACAGGTAACAGATACATCGGATAACAGGTAACAGTTACATCAGGTAACGGATACATCAAGGGACAGGTAACAGATACATCGGATAACAGGTAACAGTTACATCAAGTAACGGATACATCAAGGGACAGGTAACAGATACTCACACATAAATTCTTTGATGGAGCCGAGCTGGTTGTCCCTGACCTCGGCCTCTTTAGGGTGTTCGATGTAGTGGAACACAAGCGCCCCGAGACACAGGTACACGACCAGGATGATCCCCAGCACACTCACGTACCGGCACAGCATGTTGAAGTGGAGGATGACCTGAAACAGACCCAGTCAGCATTATCAATGTCTCTCAACAACATCGTATACTACTCGACATATGTTAAGGACAACACGAGTGCACCACACCACGACCAGGATGGCCACGTACAGTACAACATGCTGTGGAGGATAACTTTCAACAGACTCGATCAGCATTATCATTGTCCCACGATCATATGCTACTACAAACAATTAAGCTCCTCCATATTCTCTTATACTGCCGTAATTGATCAGTCGCGCCATGACGGTGAATGCCATCCCAGGTTTACTGCAGGAATTTGAGTAGTATCCGTAGTAACGTGATGTGTAGTGTTACATAACTACTATCTCCAGCATCAGCTGGGTTTGGATGGAGGCTGCATCTATAACCTGTGTGCACATTATGCACATTTAACTCAGGGCTCACGAGGATAACATCAAAGAAGTATTACCCTCACTTAAACGTGCAGACTTGTCAGCAACACAAAAACATCTAAATGAGGATCTCATTTCGTCGGGTTTTTTAAGTAGCGTTTATAGTAAACATTCAATTATTCAGTTACTGAGTATGATTACAAACCTAGAAAATAATACACTGATATTTCTAAGAGAGCAAAATTCAACTCCTCGTGGATTTGTATTTATAGGTTGTACATGAATTGTCTGAATATTGAACTGGTCGATGTTATTTTGGGGAGACCAGTCACAGAATGATATATTCGTCTATTTCTAAGAACTCGATATACAGATTGTTTATGTATTCAAACCCATTCGATTTTAGCCACAGAGCAATCAGTCCAAACTGTACCCATGGTGTAGCGGATAGAGCCTCAGCCTGTCATGGTTCGATTCCCAAAACATGTTAAAATTTGGTACGTGTCTTCCCTGCCTGGCACCTGGCCTCAAGTGGATTAAACAAGGACTGGCCGGCAGACACACAGACATACACAACTAAGCACATGCCAAATTGCTAATGGATAACATCTTAATACCCAGATAGGAATTTTGGCTGCCGTTTTGATATTTGCTTACAATTCTGTTCATACATTGAATTTTATAGTTTGTGTTCGGTCTGTTGTCGGTGATGGTTATTTATTCTTGGACCGAGGGACAGTCGGGTGTTTGTGCTCCCATTTATGACATCTCAAAGTGTAGTTGATTCACAAACTTGTCCTATTAATTCAAGACTATTATGTTTAATCTTAAACAGGACATGTTGTTCCTAGAGAATGCAATTATGTTAGTAATTACGATGTCTGCAGATTTTCATCAATTTCCGGGTGCTTTTGACAATTTGATGTCTGCGAATTCTATTTAAAAATTTCCTTTACTGGATGTTACAAATGTTGAACATGAAGGAATATTAGGCGCATCGCTCCGCCATCAACCACTTAATTATATGTCAATACCTTTTTTTGTTTGCTTGTAGTATTAGCTCAGCAATATCCCAGCTATATGTCAGTAAATAATAAAAACTGGGGCAGATAATCCAGTGATTGACACCATGAGCTAACTACCACGAAATGCATAAACAAATCTGAATCACAATAGTCGCCTCTTACTACAACCAATGACTGTTGAAGACTTCTAACCCAGGACCTCCTTTCACAAAGCACTAAGGTGATCGTAAGTCACAACCTTAGTGCAATTAAAGAATGGGAGTTAAGGTTAACCTTAGTAAAGGTTGCTTCATGAAAGGAGCCCCTGATCTCCACAATTTCTCTGTACATTAACATCTCACCTTAACACTGTGATGCTCCCGCCTTTCCTGACACTCGTAAGAACCGTCCCCAAGAACACGTTGATTAATACTTCGGCTACTCATATTCCTTCTGTTTTGTACAGCATTCCTCCTACTCGCCGTGCACTCATTGTCAGATTAACCTAATTACAACATCACCTCTCGTGTGCCTAAGGAGCATATTTTACTCGGGCTTAACACGATGAATCATATGCATACCTTGGCAGGGGCGTAGATACAACTGTAAAAAAAGGCCCGGGCTTACACATGATTGTTGCTACTACGATTCGGCAAACTCTCAGTGCCATCTAAATATATAGCTTTGTAACCTATCGGGCTTACACGAAAAAATTTGCTTGCTACGCACCTGCTTGGTGGTTATATATATATAGAACTACGGAGATTATGTAACTGTTTTATGTTATCACGAAACTGGGGTAACCTGTATGTTTAGGTAATGTAGGTGTGAGAGCGTCTATTTTGTTTGCTTGGACGGATGAAAGATGAACCGGGGCCATTCAGCTTAATTTAAGGCGCCTCAACTCACTTCGGGAATTGATTCTACATTAAACTGACACACAGTCACATCACTTAAATACTGTTCAAAGAGGCGTGATACGTGAAGATCCGGGTTAGAATTGACCTTCAGTAACCCATGCTTGTCGTCAGAGGCGACTAACAGGATCGGGTGGTCAGGCTCGCTGACTCGGTGCACATGTCATCGTATCCCAATTGCGTAGATCGATGTTCATAATGTTGATCACTGGATTGTCTGGTCCTGACTCGATTATTTACAGATCGCGGCCATAAAACTGGAATATTGCTGAGTGTTGCGTAAAACTAAACTCACTCAGAGCGGTGTTCAGCCCTACTCACTCATTCCTTCTCCAACTCACGGAGCAGCGTGTCAGGTAATCACATACACTGTTTCTCTCTCTGTGCAGTCGCGTTCCTTAGCAACCTATCGTGAGTTCGAATCCCGGTAGGCCCCGATTATGTTTCAAGGTTTGCCAGCAGTAACTCCGGTACTCGTAGGTTTCACCAACACGGCAAACGTCTGAGACCTTTGCTCCTACATTAATCTGACACGCCGTCACATAACTGGAATACTCGTTCCTTCTCCAACTCACGGAGCAGCGTGTCAGGTAATCACATACACAGCGTGTCAGGTAATCACATACACAGCGTGTCAGGTAATCACATACACAGCGTGTCAGGTAATCACATACACTGTTTTTTTTCTGGCGTTACACATTAATTGATGGCGTGACTTGCTCTCCATAAGGGCTGGCACACATTTGGTGTCGCGCTTTTTTCGTTACTGAAAGGGACTTATTGGGTTTACAAAATAGATTGTGTGCTGTGCGTTTGATACACCTTTCGTCATGGCAGAACAATTACAACCCTCGACGGTAACAGCTTTTCTGTAACCTCCGGGTCTGGTAGCTTGTTTACAACTTAGATCAATACCTGGCATTCTGTAATATCGCTATCGTTGCTAACCGTGATGTTGTTTTAGAATGCAATGGGACATGTTTATCTTTACATCACCAGCTCAAAAGATGGTATATAATAGTCTCCCTTTATGTTCCCGACGGAATTGGTATCAGCACTATCATGAGCTTTCCCTTGTCTCGGAATAAAGATAACTTGATATATAGAAAGCATTCTAGCGCAACTAGGCAGCTCCGCTTGTATACTCCTGGGTGAGCTGAGCAAGATAAACGGAAGCCGATCTACATTTCGGGGAACAAACCTAATTTTGACGAAATACTTATATCTGGGTAAGTGCAGTATACTACATCATTACTCTGGTAAATGAGAAATGCCACGTTAACGCTGAATTTGCCGGAGAATCTCCTTAAACAGTAATTACTACCATATGGATTGGGTGGGTGGGTGCGTGCGTGCGTGCGTCGTGTTTTCGCCGTTTTATCGGGGTTTTTTTTTCAGGGACTGTCATGTAATAACCTCTTAGTACCGACCTTTGATATCTTAGGATGGCTTCGGATGCTGCTGCCGTGGCACGGGTTACCAACGTTGCCGTACCTCCTCATTACTGTCGACCTCCCTCCGTGGTGTTGTGGATATAGCGTGTCTGCCCAGAGAGCGGAAAGTTGGTAGTTCGATGCCCGGCGGCTTCATAACAAAATACGTTTAGTAAATTATGTTTGTTCTACAGCTGACTTGACCCTCGGTATTAAACGGATAAAACAACGAGCGGGGTTGCACGGAGACAATATAATGTGCCGGAGTTGGGTATTCATTTTAAACTTTAGAATGGGCATTGCTGTTTTTGACAGTATTTAGACGGCGTTAGTACGGGCTAGCGCACGCCGCACGCGCGCATACACACACACGCACACACACGCATGCACGCACACACATACGTGTGTTTCATGGCGTCGCTACATAGATGCAAAATTCTTGAACGCGATGTTACAGTCCATTTCACTTCATCTCCAAAAATTAACATCGGCAAACCATATGTCCCGCGCCTGATCTGTTTAGGTTGTATGGCCCATTAGGGGTCAGTTTAATCTTCCTGACGGGAAGACTACCTCGTAAGGTGTGCGCATGCTCAACAAACCACAACACCCATACCACTACGATGTAAACAATGAACCCACTCGATAGATATTTAACTGGAACAGGTGTCAACATTCATGGCGCGATCCGATTGTAACTTCAGATCACGTGAGGATGCCGATCCGATTCTGAAACGCACCGGATCCAGATTGGGGATGGTGGTTTGGTGTAATTGAACGTTCTCTCGCTTTGGTACTAAAACCAATGTAGGTTACAGTTGTGATTATCATCATATACCTATGAATAATATAGACCATTTTGCACATACAATGCTGGCTGTCGGCATATGTCCATGTTGACCACCTGGGCCGAAAATCCATATCAGCCGTATTGTCCGGCTATTATACATTCGTGACCAACTCGACTGAACAAGCCGAATAGCTTCTTGCAAACGAATGGCGAAACTTCACACGCAAACGCTCGAAACTTCAATCGACGGGGCCTAGTTTGATTTAGAGTTACGTCCCTTGATGTTGTATACGATAAAAAGGTTATGATATGACAGTTTCCCATTTGCCAGTCAATCAGCCCTCGACTACCATATCAAACCTCGGGGCCTTCGGCTCTCGGGCTGATATGGCTGGCGAAAGGAAAACTGTCATGTCATAACTTCTTATAATGTGACTATAAAACGACGGCAATGTGTCACTATTTGGTCCATTCTGAGAAGGCGTGTGACATAGATTATAATGTGACTATATAGAACGGTAATATGTCACTATTTGGTCCATTCAGAGATTGTATTCGCTCTATCTCTCGCCTTTATTCACAGTTATCACTGGATTGTCTGGTCCAGACTCGATTAAATTTAGTTACAGACCGCCGCCATATAGCTGGGATGTTGCTGAGTGCTGCGTCAAACAAACAAACAAATTATACGAAGCCTGGAGGTCATAGTTTGATCGTATATCTTGGCCGGGCATTATTGTATTCATGATCCAAATGATCAGCGTATCAACAATTATGACACAATCTCTCGCTGACATTGCTTGCTCATCGTTCTTGTTTGAACACTGTTTTTCATCAATGAATAAATTGTTCATTGTATTTGTTCCTTCAAATGTGAAATTTTCAATTGATGTGTATTTACTACTTGGCTGTATGTGTGTGACAGGTAGAAATACGGTGTATGTTGTTTGTCTTGTTCCTCGTCTTCCCGGGGCGGTGGGGTAGCCTAATGGTTAAAGCGTTCGCTTGTCACGCCAAAGACCCGGGTTCGATTCCCCGCATGGGCCCAATGTGTGAAGCCCATTTCTGGTGTCCCCCGCGTGATATATTGCTGGAATATTGTTAAAAGCAGCGTAAAATTTTCTGTGACCACCAACTGTAGTTATAGAGTGCACAACCTGATTAACAGGATGCTGAACACCACCCTCGACCCTTATAACAATAAACTTGAAGCTCTTACCTTTAAACACGGGTGATAACCACAGTCCTTGAATCAGTACATGTTGTCCTCCTGTCACAGTTGTACCTAGCGACGTGAGTTACGACGGGGAAGATCTAATATTGACACCCGAAACTGGTTTCTTGTCTTGTAGTCGCGGACGCCCATACACGTGTCCTCATTGCAAAGTCTCTTTAAAACAGACATGGAATGAGCTGACAATTTGACACTACTAACGATTGTAGGCCGCGCGTAACAATGACGATTGGAGGTCACCCGTAACACTGACGATTGTAATCCACCCGTAACATTGACGATTGGAGGTCACCGATAACACTGACGATTGTAATCCAACCGTAATGATGATTAAACTGTTAACTGATATACGACTTTAATAACAACAATATTACCGGAAGTAAGTCACAGCCACAGACATGGAGTCAGTTGGCGGAACCTCGCCAAACTGCAATAATTGTTTGCAGGTTAAGCGTGACAATGCCCCATGGCGATAGCACGTGTCAAAATATTCAACTTCATTTGTATACACGCCGGTGTTGTGTAGACCTTTGAAACAGCTGACACACGTAAGAGCAATTTCACTTCAAAACATGTTTATGAGGTCTGCTCTGCGATATTGATATCCAACAATGACTCTTAACAAAAGATGCAACGGCCTGGGTTAATTCCGCTGATCATAAGACAGTCATGGATTGGTTTGTGTCAGTGAACTGCTTGGTAAGGCGTTAGGAGCGTTGGTTGGTCTTGGTGGATGGGTAATGCTGACATCCCGAATTCCTAACACTTACATTCGTGCTTTTAAGGGTGCGAACATCTGATATTAACATAGCCGTGGTCCAGACAACTTGCTCGTCTGGTTGTTGCATTGTGTTTACAAAGGGAATACATAGCAGCCCAGTGACATTTCCGGTTCGCTCCATCCCTTCAGTCATATCACATCAACATCTGTTGCAATAGCCAAGCGTTTATAATGAACATTGATCAAATGGTATATATTATTAATGATTCGACTGAAAGCCAATTGCATATTCAAATGATGTTTTGATAAGGTCAGTCTATAAAATGTTCCAGCATATGCCATTAACGTTGTCAGGTACCTGTCTGTTCGCCATTCCAGTTCAAACTTTACAGCATATTTCCGACATCGTCTCAAAAACCATGAGGCCTATGAAACGTGGATGTTTTGCCAGATCAATTTAGAATACAGCTGCCTGGTTGTGAACTAATGATTCAGCTATTGATCTGATCATGATTGGCATCGATCAGTTTGGCGTCTGTAGTAACTTCAGGTCATTTACCGTAATATAGAGGACTTCACAACTAAAGGGCCTAATGGATGACTGAAAAGAAGCAGATAATATATCTTCCTAGCAAGGTTTTTGTTTGCAGGTACTGAAAGATAACATACTATAAAATAAACAGGTGTTTTTTAGACTCTTCATGTACTGAAATAACATAAACATGCCATTACTATAATATTCACATGTACGGAAAAGATATATTGTTTCTATGAAAATAACACAAACAGTTTTGGGGATTACATCCAGTGCAAAATACTCGTGCTTTATTTTTGAAAATACTGATGTTGGAACAGACTTTCAGGAAAACTCAACATTTTACTCGACTGCACCAAGATATTAATGTCCACATTCTGATAAAAGTGATGACTAATATGAGTTATGTTGACACATTACTTCACAAAACAAGTTGCTCTACCTGTGATTTCACTGCACCATGATAACATCAGTAAAATATTTTAGCAAAAGGAATGTGTGTAACGGTAATGGAAAATGGCCACTGCAATGATCCCGTGAGGCGGCAACAACTTCGAAGAGATACGTAAATAGAAAACTATGATGGATAATGTCCATTCTAAATAGCGTACTGTCCTTCTTCAACACTGTGTAACATGTTCAAAACCTCTATAATTTCAGAAGACATGGTGTATGAAATCCTTTAAAATGCAACTGATAATGCAAGAAATATTTTAACCAACTAACACTGCAACAGATATATGTTACGAAAACTCATATTCTTTGCAGCCAAAGGTTTTCCTGTTTTTCTCATTTTACACTACCCTTTTGTATGCTGCATGTCTATCAGCATTGACACACTTAGACCACTCTGTTACTAAATATTGGCCAGATGGAATGATTATAACATGCCTGCAGACCATTCAAACTTGAAGCGACTAACGGGATCGGGTGGCCAGGCTCGCTGACTTGGTTAAAACATGTCATCGGTTCCCAAATGCGCAGATCGATGCTCATGCTGTTGATCACTGGACTGTCTGGTCCAGACTCGATTATTTACAGACCGCCGCCATATACCTGGAATATTGCTGAGTGCGGCGTAAAGCTGAACTCACTCACTCACTACTACTTATACTTTGCCATCCCTACTATTTATACATGAAACATACAAAAATAGGGCTATGTGTTTCATTTTGATATACAATATTGTGAATTACCTGAATTGTGTCTTTACGGTCACATATACTTTGTACCGATACTGACCTTTGATGGTATGACGTTGTTTCTCATCAGTACACATGACAAGGTCACTAGGCGTCTTAGAAGGTCAAATTGGACATGAAGGCCACATGGCAGAATAACTTGCTAGAAGTATTTTAAAATATTCATGTTTGGGGGAAATGCAAAAAACGGTGTCAAAATATGGAGATTATTACACGAACAAGGGTGCCATACGACGTATACGAAACGCGTATGAAATTTTGTACTGCCCGAACGAGAGCACATGTGCACATATGATATATATTACACTGGTTATGTTTCACCATATGGATAATAAACAGAGGATACTACACGACCTTCCGTGTTATACCATTTTTATTAATAGAGTTAATGATTTGGTATTAAACGAGCGAAAGCGAGTTTGATGCTAAATCTTTCAGGAGTTTAATAAAAATGGTATTTCACGAAAGCGAGTTTAGTATTATGTTTATTACTCTCCAACATAAATTGATAGAAACTGCCCATGAAGTGTGATGACTCAACTTTCCACGAGTCAAGCAAGGTCTAATACCATTGTGACAGAGGTATTGGAATTGTGCATGACGTCATAACTGTAAACCATTACGACGTCATACGCCTATCGGTATTACTCTAGTGTAATGTTGCCGTAAAAATATTACACTGCAGTATCTTCCACGGGCGAGTAATAAATGTCTATATTACCCATACGGGCTAGGATACACAGGTGATTATGTTTGTGATAATCGCACATATTCTTTTCAGTGATTCTCAACGTTGATTGGTCAGCTAAGTAGGGAAGAAATATGATTGGTTGACGGAACTACTTTTCATGATCCAAGTTCATTGACAACTTTCACCGTTTCATTGATATTTAGAACGTGCTGTACTCACACATTCCGAGATTTAAAGAAGAATACATATACATTGTAGGTTAGAGAATAAGAATAATCTTTATATTAGACATTATTATTTTGCAATAAAATTGCGTTATAAATAGTAGTTTTTTAAATATAAATAACCTCAAAAAATACAAAAAAAACCCCAATAGTTTGCATTGTTTGTAAACAAACATAGCCGCCATTAGGCTAAGCCCGATCAAGGTCAATGACCTAGTTAAAGTTGAGAGTGACCTAATAGGAAGAGAGATAAGAATGTTTACATACCTTGAATTCCTACAACCTGTTTGTTGTTAAAACTGAATTGGGGGAAATAGAAGCAGCAAGATACCGACTAAAGGTGTTACCTGAAAGTGTGACAAGTAAGTCTGTCATGGTGCCCATGCCATAAAACCAGACACAATATTCCGAGCACAAAAAAGTTCAATCAATAAGCAGTTACTCTTCAATTAATGAGAAACAACAGCAGTCCATCAATAAATTGTTGTCAAACCCTTGTAACTCCACCACTCTGCTCGCTCATCCCCAGCCTCGGACTACCACCATGACGTCACAGTGCTTGTCGCATGCCGTAAATCTTCATTCTGTACATACACTATTCTCAGGTCCAATTTATGGTGGTGTATTCCACTTCAACATCTCGAATGACTCCTATGGGTCTTGGACAGTCATTTGTACATATTGTAACATAACCGAACCGTATGTTATTTTTTATATTGTATATTGTATATACTCTCTCATAGTCAATTGTAAATGTAGAATGGGCCTGTAGCCTCCACTACAAGAAATAAAGATTGATGTAATATGAATGACTCCTCTGTCAGTCGACAATCTGCTCCAAAGAGGCGTACTCTTGACTCGGATTCCGACTAGAGTTATCCTTCTTGGAACTGCTGTACTGTACTGGAACAATGACGTGACTGTAACACGCCTTCGACAGAACAAAATGTTGTTTTCATCTTCAAACTTGTTGAGTTTCCTGACAAAAAATATTTTCTAGATGTATTCGTGGGATGAGATTTGACACAATCATAGATGGATCGGACACAATTCCACATTTTGGTAGTACGCCCTTCTCATTTAATACAGACCATAATTTTGCCCTATTCACCAAATCAAACGCTTTTGAAAAGTCTACAAAAAAGCATATAATTTCGCTTTCTTAGATAGAATTCTGTTAATAATACTTTGTAAAATGAAAATGTTATCTATAGTCGAGTAACCAGCTCTGAACCCTGCCTGCGACTCAGAGATATTGCAATAAGCATCAGTCCAAAACCTGAGCCTATTATTAATAACTGACACATATAGTTTACTAAAAACACTGAGAACTGTAATCCCTCTGTAATTGGACACCTTATTAACATCACCCTTTTTATGAACAGGAACTATTATACCCATAGACCACTGAGCTGGGAATATACCTTTATCAAAAAGCATATTGAATAAAATAGTAAGATATGGAATAATAACATCCGAAGAGTGCTTCAAGAATTCAGCAATAAGCTTATCATCCCCCGCTGATTTAGAACACTTGAGTGCATCTATTCCCACCATAATCTCATCAGCCGAGATTGGCGAGTCAAGAATAGCAGTGGTATTACTATCAGTAAACTTAGACTCACTATTGGCCACACTATTGCTAACTGATGATCTACCAGGTGTCATATACATACTGCAAAAATGACCATGCCACTCCTGTAATGAAATACTAGGGGTAACTGGAACTGTGGATGAAAAACGTTTTAATAACTTCCAAAATGCCTTACTATTATATATAAATTATCTCTCAAAGCTATAGACATTTTATCCTAGTAAGCCACTTCTTATCCCTCGTAACAGAAGAAAATTTTATTTTTGCCCTTAGATAATCTTTCAGAGTATCATCAAGTTTACATCGTCTATAAACACACAACAGCCCTCTCTCAGAGCGATAATAGCTACACTCAGAATCATACCAAGGCTGAGAATTTATAGTGCCATCACGACATTTACGTTTCATACATGTACCAGCTTCACATATAGCATCAGTAAATATATCAACAGACTCAATAATATTATCGAACATGCGATCTAGGCATTCATCAAACATTGAAATAATGTTATCTGACAATAGATTTTCTCTGAAAAGTTCTGTGTTAGCATCACACCATACATAGCGGTAATCTTCTCGGGTGTTTGATGAATCACTATCCTGAGCGTGCTGCACGGGCTGGTCACGTAACTGAAATTGACATGTTAGCGGTAGATGATCACAGTCGGATCGAGAGAAGATGTTGAAGTATTGACAGACATTGAAGATACCGGGAGAAGCAATAACGTAGTCAATGACACTTCTACCACAATGGCTTATGAACGTGAAGTCACCCGCCGAGTCGGGAGAATTGGTGTGCTGTATTAAACTTATTTATTATGAATGGTCGATGTGGACTCGACGCTGGCTTAAAGTGACTTCACGTTCATAAGCCATTGTGGTAGAAGTGTCATTGACTACGTTATTGCTTCTCCCGCTATCTTCAATGTCTGTCAATACT